GCAGATCCTTTATGAGCAGGTCGGCGCCGGCCAGCCAGCCGTCCACTAGTCCTGGCTCGTCTGGTGGCCATGTGAACGCTACGTAATCACGTCGCTCCGCCCAGCCCGCATGCTGCAATCACGTGCATACATGACCACATCATAACATGCCACACGAGTGATGGGAACATACAGCACGTGAAGATAACCCACAACGGATTTGGAGGCCCATTCGGGCATGGCAGCACGCCTCAAGGGATGTGTCCTTTGACCACATAATGTTAAAAGAGCAAGCATATCCAGCGATTCCCCATTCGGCCTCACCTGTGTCAGATAACATCTCCACTCTTCATGGTTCATGCACACAGCTGTTGTTACTGAATGCCCCTTCCCAACTATAAGCTATTATGGATCAGTTGTGATATGTCCACACAGTCTTTTCAGCACATCAGATGCACATCAAAAAGTATGTGGCATTAAGAGAGGGTTGTACTCAGAGGACTCTGTCATCATCATCACAGGAGTCATCATTACATGCCAGTCGAGCTTCATGGCGGCCGGCAGTGACAAGCATGGGGCCACCTATGGCTTTGAGTACATGTCAAAACTGAGGGTGATGATGCTGAAGTCAAGACAAAACCATTTTCTGTACCCAACTAGTGCCAAACTGTTTGCTAGACACATGCATGGAGCTAGACACAATGCAGCATCTGACCAAAACATACTATGTCTGTGAAAGATGGATGACCACCAGTGAACTAATCATAGTGGGTAGTTGTTACTCACAATGGCATCTACCTCTGACAGGATGCCTCCCTTATTGATGACCATCTTCTGGTGGTCGATGGGAGGAGGAGAGTCTGACTGGACAGGTCTTGTCTTGGCCTGGCAACGTGCATTAGTCTCAAAACTGACAATGCATCAGTCTTGATAACAGCAGTGTAAACATTGTTATCACACAAAACAAGAGTGCAAAACAGAATAATGGTTATAGCTGATGACTTTGCACTTTTACATTTTGCATGGTAGATTTGGATTTTGATTTTTGTAGACTTACATTTGAGGTGATAGGGTAATTAAGAATCAACATCACAGCAAAGCAGGGCATGTGCTTCAAAACATAACTTGAATATCCTCACCTTTGCTCCTCCAGTCATTCTAAAACAATGAAATGTTTTCTGTGTAGTTCAATCAATTCACCTAAAACATTCAAGGTGTTAAAAGCATGCAATAATGACGAAAAACAAGTGATCATAAGGTACAACAAATGTCAACTCCTGATGTCATTCAAATGTAAAGGTGCCTTAGGCTTTCTTAGTCATTTCTCAAAGACCAATATCACTGGAATAATCACAGCTGATGCTCAAACCCAAATGCTAGCTGACCTGAAAGAGATAACTGTAACTACCTCCACTCACGCTGGTAAGAGGCCGGTAATGATCCACATGTAAAGAGACTTCTGAGCATAAGGTTAAATCCCTTGAAGCCAATCTACCACCTGGTACCCTAATTTATCTATCTTGTGCATTAATAGAGTAGCATGAGCTTTAGCCACACAATTGTACATATATTTCAATGTTGTGGCCCAGGTTTGCTTCAGTAACAGTGAATGTATCCACTTTGACACCAGGGTGCCGCATCCCAGTTATTAAAAACCATGTGGCAATGGACTTGCTAACCTCTGACAATGTTGGGCTTAGTGGTCGATTTATAAATGATACATGCACCTAGGCTGTGCAAATCCGTCGTTTGTGCACGGGCGTACGTTCGCGGCCGTACGGGAAAGGCGCGGGAAAGGGGATATTGCTTAAATAGCAGGAATAACAGCACCCACCTGCGTGCACGATACCCCCGTCCCGGACGCTACCCTCGAAAGCCCCACCAATCCCCAACGTATGGTCCACGCAACCACGACCCCGGTAAATTGCACCACACTCAGTTACACCGCATTGCATACAGGACAGGCGCCCGATAGCAGCAATTTTTATCTTTCTGCGCTACAGTGTCAGTCATACGCCACTTCCGTCCCATATTACTGCTACCACATCACGCTACCATATTCCCTTGATTCTTGCGCGCATCTTTCCTACGAAAAAAACTCGTGTTTACCGCCGCTCGCGCGAAAGTGATGGAATCGGGTGTTCGGCGGGGGGTGTGGGCTGACGGAAAAGTTTTCAACTTAATTTTCACCTCTTGTTTTACTTTTTACTTCGGACCACACACTAACTCTGGCATACCGCCGACACACTATGTGCAGGGTAGTATTTGGAAGTGTGGCTTCAGCCCCGGTGTTACCATCATCTGTTGAACCCGTACGCTGAGTGCTTCTTCCCATTTCCAATTAATTTCAGTTTCTTCCCTCCATGAGTGTCGATTTTTATTTTTTGGGTGGGCCACTGCACCCCCCCCCCCCCCCACCCACCGCCCACGTCCAATTTGTACCCGTCCCCCAACGGTGAGTTTGGCCCACCAACCTCTTGGCACCGAAATAAAGGAGGGTGTCAACGGTGAGAGGGGTCAACATTATATCAATTGTAAGCAAGCTCTCTACTGCCTAGATAAGACAGCATTATTTGCCTTATTCTTCAGAAAAACCAGGAGAATAGAGATGTAGTTAGTTTGATATTTCGGCAATATGCCCTTCTCGAAACAATAGTAGACGTGAATATACCATAGTTAGTGACAACAACAATAGCAGAAGTGAATGTACAATACCTGTTTCACAGGAAAAGAAGTAAATTTACTACGAAAACGAAAATTGGGAGGTGACGTTCGGTTGATAATTTTTTTTTTCTTTGGCAGATACATAATTTTGATCGCATGATTACAATGTCTTGTTGAATTTCGTCAACATTTGTGCTATTGTCTGTTTCGGCACTGATGAGCGATGTTTCATATTCCACAGATTGCAGCAAGCTGCGTGATTTTGTTTCAAAATCGTAAGATGAAAACAAACTGCTCGAAATTAAAACTCAAAAACGCGACCAGGTTATTAGCCGTTTGCATTCGAAAGAACCGTTCAGATGTGCTGACCTCCACTTGGCCTTGAATTCTCGGTCGAATAGTTCAAAAACTTGACAATCGACACCTGTTGGTTAAAGTGATAGCGGCATTTGCCCGATAACATGCCTGATGAGAGTGCTGAGTTGTTGCCGGCACCCCGCCTTGCGGCTATCAGCCGGGGATTTTCATGACAGTTTCCGTTTCCATGACTCGTTTATACGCGGGTCCGCAACAAACCGAAGTTTCATCAATAAAACATATGCATTTCAGTTAGCGTAATACGAAACTCTTCCACGGACCAGCTACGAAAAAGTCTTCAACATTTCCCCAAACAGCTTAAGTAGATGACGTCCTGTTAGAATGCCTTTCCCCGCTCATTTCATTACACACACTGTGCAAGCCTGCTGCGTTTCTGGGGGATACTGCTCTTAGCCTTTGCGCCTCTGAAAGGAAAGCGACCCAAACCCGCTTTGGTTAGAATGCGCGGTGAATGAAGCCCGTGATTTCAATGTCATGTCCAGCTCAGTCTGAGTATGGAAGTGCTGCTAATCGAGTTGGCCCTTCAGTGGCCACACGCGATTTACATTAATACACTCGGTGCACAGTGACCTTACCCACGGAGATGCCGGTGAAATTGGCTGGGGACGGGGACGGGATTAGCCATGAAGAACTTAGGCCATCTCCATATTCCAGAGCTTTTCATTTTAACCTCACAAACCATCGCGCGTCTTATGGCGCTAGGTATGTGAAGTATATTGCATCGTTTATCCGCTCGGCTGTTGCGATTTTTATCTTGTGAGAACAGCCATGACGTCATATTAGAGGGTGGTACCAGACGCCATTGCGCAGAAAGCCAAAAACATTGGGGGACCAAGTTAACATTGGGGGGAGAGGCAACTCAACATTGGGGAGGCCAGGGTCGTCACAAAAAAATGCAAATCGACACCCGTGACCAGTCCGATGTGCTGTGAATGCTAATGTGTTCCTATTCTAGGTCTAAAAAGCTGTTGAGATGAAACATACTCTCGTGTTACTGTTCGAATGTTTTTTTGCGCAAACGATATCGTTTTTCTCTGCCCGCTAGCCTCCGCCTAATGTTAGTTAACATCAGGTCTGAAAGATCAAATTGGACATTTCAGCTCCGAAATGGACCCGGATTTGGACCAGTAGGATGCCTTATAGATTGAATTAGACATCCTATCGCCCAATTAGACTTTTTTGCTGGGAGCCACGAAGCCGATGCCGCGCAGCCTACGAACACTGCAATACCGGGCATCAGGTTTTGTTTTAAGGCTTGCGAGCGCACGTGGTTAAAAGCATGTGATGTACTTCTTTCAAAACTGGATTGTGGAAAAATTAGACCTCTGGACACACAGAGTTTGGGCATGGGCATGCCAATCAATTTCAATCTCATTTCGATCTGCAATCTACGTAAACTACCATTTACGTTCTTGGAACAGCTTTGCCAACCATTGGATCGGGCTATCTACGAAGACAGAGTCTTGATTTGGCCGTAGACACCAGCCTCAACGAAGATTTTGACTGCGTATCCACAAGCATCACCATAGGGTTATTTTTAAACGTTGCTCGGAGTTGGGGAGCAGCTGCCTTCTCCCTACCCCCCTTTATCTACCGTCTCCGCGGGTAAAACATGCACGTATCAGCCAAAGGTATCTCTACCAGACTCACGCTATAGGTAAACAATTCGCGTCGGGAGCTAAACGCCCCAAAACAGTTTCTGGAAGAGGGCCTACAATAATTTGGTAGTATATACTTGTTTGTTTTTACAAATGCGCAGCTATACAACTGTGCTACGATTATTGCGCGTAAATATATGTGGCGCAGGACTCTCCGCTGATGCACGCAGGGATGGGACACAGGAGTATCCGCCCCCTGTGAGGCAGTGCTTGTTGGAGATGCGGAAGTGAAATGGTACCCGGGAACACCCGGTCATCTGGGGCGGTGTGCGCCCGACTTCAAATATGCGTACTCTTTGTGCAAGGGTTTTGAAGAGGCGCGGAACCTTGTTTGATGCATTGCTTAAGTTAATGGTTTGTTTTACTTCTTGAAATCGCCAGTGGTAGGGCTGTAATGCTCTTACTTCTGTGGTACTCAAAAAAGGATCGAAGTGTTGGACTGATCAACTAATTTTAGGTTTGTGTTATTCCTTGCTATGAAATGCTGTAAAACTTCCAGCGCTTCAGATGATTTCGCACAATGAATGAATGTGGCTGAATGTCATTTTTTAGTTGCATTGTAAAATGAAGTAGCATCATTTCCATGGTATTGCCACAGTCACTGTCTGTCTGCCCAAAATGCTGGTTAAATATTATGCAATAACTGTTATTTTATTTTTCAAGCTAAAGGAAATATTGACCACCAATTTTTTACCAGTATGGTTGAGAGTTTGGCTGGAATCAATTAAGTACCTACAAGGTGCAACTAAAGTGAGATACAACTTAAACTGATAAAAATTGCATGGGTTTTATCATGTTAACCAGTGCTTGCACTATATGATTACTTTAATGGTAAATCCTGGCAAAATGAAGATCAATTATGTCATCATGATAGCTTCAAACTCAGTGATAAGTCTACCACCTTCCCTGAAAAACCTGGTAACTGGGATGCAGCTGGGGTTTTGTAAGGTAGAGCTGCACTTGTCAAGTACTTATGACACCAATTTTTCCTTTCCGTTAGTAGCCATTGGTGAAGACAGGTGGGACTAGCTGTTGGGGGGGGGGGGGGGGGAGAGGAAGGGGCAAGATATTACTGCACCCCTGGTTAATACAATACCTTATAAGGTATGAGCTCCTTTTAAAATTTTTTGCAGGATTTGCTAATGAAAAAAACAGATGCTAAACAAAGCTCTGAAAGCTAAAAGAAAACAATAGCAAAGGTTCAAGGCCGGGTTCTTTCTGTGATTGTCGGTGCCATGCTATGGAACATAATTTGTATTGCTCTATAGAAGCCAGAAAAATAAATGACATTCAGTTGATCCCTTGTTTTAACTTGCAGTCTAATGCAAATTGTATTGTCAAACATAACAATAACATGAAGGTAACTGTACTTTCAAGATTACTGCACATTGATTGAGAACAGCTTAACTAATCTAACATAGCCTGACTTAAGTTCACTCAACCCAACCTGGCCTTTTATAGCCTAACCTAATTGTGACCTGACATGATCATATCTGGTCCAGCCAAATCCAGCCCAATCCATCCCAGCCAAGCCCAGCCCAGCCCAGCCCAGCCCAGCCCAGCCCAGCCCAGCCCAGCCCAACACATTAGTCCTAGCCAGCCTAAAACTAACCTCCTTCATCCTGTCTCTCCCCCCCCCCCTCTGCCTCTAACCCATGTATATCCCATTGCTGTAAAGTTAATAGATTCTCCATGTAGCTAGTTAGTGTCCAATTAGCATGCCAAAAACATGGTATGATATAACCATGTTGTCTTCTGGTCATCAGCCAACCAGAAAATGTTTTGCCACACATGGAAAGTGTTTGTGCACCATGCATGCTCACAGGCAATGTTGTTAAGCTAGCAACATGTTTATTCAGACCTGGTACAAGCTTATAAAGGTTAGAACATTGGGACATGACAATAACTTGAACAATCTGCATAATGAACAGCATTGGGCAGCAAACAGCACTCTAATCTAGGGTGAGAAAGGGGAGTTGTAATCTCAGTTCTGAAATTTCTGAAACTTGAAGACAGTAAGTCATGAAACAGGCATATTTTTTAGGTTTAAAGCACTGTTTTAATTTAAGGTTTGTAAGATGTTGGCTATTTAAGGTCATATTTTGATGTTGTGAACCCTGAAGTGACAGCCCATTTCAGCCTGTGGCAGTTTTGCAACAACCAAAAATATCTGGAGTGCAAACAGGCCCTGGATCTTCTTCTCAGAGTCACTGGCTTTCAGAGGAGTATGCCAGATGTTGCATGTTGTGTTTTGCCACAGGATGATGCAGTCATTTGCATAAAATCCATTATTGAAATAGTTTATGTACATGCAGAGGATGGTAGTGTTGGTTTTCCGTGAGTTGTGACAATAGATTCTGTGGAATGTTGGGGGATTTGTGATTAAGCTGTCAAGTTTGGCAGAGCAAGATGTGAGGCATGCCATGAAGCATCAAAAATGATTTAGGACAAATGCCTAAAAATTGCTGTTGCTTTGGCCCCATGCCACTTTTGTTGCATCCCAAAATATTGTGCAAATAGAAGATTTAAAGGTAAATTGAACCAACCCAGTCTTGTATTTTGGTTGAAATCCAGATGCACCAGAACTTTCCACTTGAGTTAAAAAAACAGCCTCTCTGTCAGCCTGATTTTGATTATTAGTGGTGAAGATGACAGTCCACCTACAAGGTCAAAGCTCACTGCCATCACGATCTTTGTTATAGAGAGAGCAAATAGTAACATAGTTGTGCAAGGAGCAACAGAGTAGCAGAACATTCCACTTAGCCTACCAGGTTGTGGGGGTGGGGAGCAAATAACAAATTGTGATGTAGCAAAAAACGAGTTACCTCATCGGAGTGTGATTGTGCATGAGCCAGTCACACTAAGAAAATACCTGCATTGCTGTATGCCATTTTGTAACTTCCAGAGCACAATCAATTGGTGGCTGGGTCGCAAGCCAAAACATGACATCATTTGGAGCTTGACATTCTGGGCCTTACTGTATCGTGATGTGGCGGTATTAAACTGAACGGCGTTTTTTGGGGGTTTCGAGCCTGGCATATGTAATGAAATAGTGCATCCCAGTCATGTGAGGTGGCTACCTCTCTCTGTCGGGCCTCCCCTCTCTCATGCCAGCCTTAGATGCTCATAATTTATTTGTTTGTTGTCAGTTCATCAAAAAAGAAATAAATTCATCTGTCATCATTGTTTTCACTGCAACATTGGATGTATATGCTGTAAGTTTCAGAATGGAATCCTGGCTGTTATGAACACTGCATATACTATGCTGAAATATTACTTAAAACATTAATTAAATACTTATGAAGGTTTTACTGAGAATACCATTTTGCCAGCATCTCAAAGACCTAGCTTGATTTGAAGCAAACAGTGGTATGTGTATCTGTATCTGTGTGTGTGTGTGTGTGTATCTCATCTGGTGTACCCATTTTCCAGGATGGCAACTGGGCTGTGATGTACATTTGTCTTTTTCACCTTGCTTTCTGTTCGGTCCTGGCCTGAGGTGCCCTACTTTGGACCACAAAGTTTCTCAAGATGTCGTTTCGCGGACCTGGGCTGTACGAGTTTCTCACGGAGGCAGAGCTTCAGCAATACTACAATCATTTCAAAAATGACTTGAAGGTGGGCCACAGGCTGGAGTATGGATTTCACACATGTCAGACAGTTTTACCACTGATCTTTACAAACGGATGAAATGACCTCCTATGTGACGTGTCATATTTGTTTGCACATGTTGTGTGCTGGAGAGCTGGCCAGTGTGTTACATTTCAAGCGTGGTAAGCATGTGTGCTCTGAACAGTTACCATGTAGGTTTTGGTTGCCAGGTCTAGCGGATGATTTTGCCTCCCGTGTTTCGCTGAACAGGACTTTGGACGGCGTAGCATGCTTTATGATGTTGCGGCGCGGCTGTCGCGCGTCTGGGTTGACCCCCGGGAACCAATGCCAGCTAGCCTATATATGTCAGTCAGGCCAAACAACAGGCTCTCTCTGGGCCTCTTGACTTCTATTCTTTGCCGCTGGGCGACGTGTCCGGTATCTGAGGTGTTACGTGTTACGTCTTAGGTGTAAGGCGTGTTATCCCATGTGCCATATTGCGTGACGTGTTTGCACGCGTCGGAACGGCGTGTATCGGACGAATCGGACGTCAGGCAAAGCGTGGCTATAAATGCATGGCGTTTACACGTGTCCGCGATTTTACAGGTGCAAAATGTGCCCCAAATCAAGTGGGTGACAGATGAAGATCTGGCCGTGATGGGTTTGTCTAAGCCCGAGATAAGACGTCTCAAGAAGTTCTTCGGAAAATACTGTCCACAAAACTATTTGTCGAAAATGAAAAGGGTATGTGCGTGCTTCGAAAATGCGGCTCAAAGCATTGTACGCTTCTCATACCTCTCATAACTGCCGGTAGGATTTTACCGTGTCGCTTAACAATGTCTCAGATTTACAGCTTATTGTCCTCTGCGGCGCGCCCGATCCGCTCTGTTTGCCTCAATGCTCTGCCTGTCGTGACGCGTCGTCCCTCACTCACCGCCGCTCGGTCATCCCTCGCCTGGACCCGTGTTCTGCACGGGAGTGAGTCGGCGGCGCGGCGGCCTCACCGTCCCCCGTGCGGCGGCCTCACCGTCTCCCGTGCGGCGGCCTCACCGTCTCCCGTGCGGCGGCCTCGCCGTCCCCCGCGCGGCGGCCTCGCCGTCCCCCGCGCGGCGGCCTCACCGTCCCCCGTGCGGCGGCCTCACCGTCCCCCGTGCGGCGGCCTAACCGTCCCCCGTGCGGCAGCCTCACCGTCCCCCGTGCGGCGGCCTAACCGTCCCCCGTGCGGCAGCCTCACCGTCCCCCGTGCGGCGGCCTAACCGTCCCCCGTGCGGCGGCCGAACCGTCCCCCGTGCGGCGGCCTCACCGTCCCCCGTGCGGTAGCCTCACCGTCCCCCGCGCGGCGGCCTCACCGTTCCCCGTGCGGCGGCCTCACCGTCTCCTGTGCGGCGGCAGAAGCTGCTGGGCCGGCGCGACGACGAGCTGCCGGAGCCGCCGGCGGTGCCCGACGAGTCGCCCTCACGGCAGCGGCACACCATCAAGATGCCCAAGCACATCATCCCGGCGGACGCCATCGTGGTCAACAAGGAGCTGGGCACCGGCGAGTTCGGAGTGGTGCAGCAAGGCGTCTGGACCAACGAGGAGGGGCACAGGGTGAGCTGCCCGGCATTGCGGGACCCCAGCGGAGGGTGGGGCGGGGCTTGGGAAGAGAGGTGGGGGTGGGACACCGGCTGACAGTGAGGCGTAACTCCGGTGGAGGGTGGGGTGGGACTCTGGTGAAAGGTGGGGCGGGACTCTGGTGAAAGGTGGGGCGGGACTCTGGTGAAGGGTGATACGGGACTCCTTTTGAGAGTGGGGCGGAACTCCGGCTGACGGTGGGGCATAACTCCGGCAGAGGGTGGGGTGGCGGAGGGTGAGGCGGGGCTCCGACAGAGAGGTGGGTGAGACACGGCAACAACGGCGCGGATCTTGGTTTGATATTTGCAAAGAGAGCCAGTTGGAGGGGAGGGGGGTGAAAGGATCCGGGAACCGTTGTTGGAGATTCCGGAGGAACTGGTTGGGGCGAGCCTTATGATGCAGGGGAACCGTGGACGATAAACAGGAAAATTTGGATGAGGGAGATTGAGGGGGGGGGGGGGGGTTGTGGAATGCTAGTGGAAAGGAGTGAGGGGTGCTCATGGAAGTGTAAAATAAGAAATCAGAGGTGTGAGTTGGGGGGGGGGGGGGGGGCGGGGCAATCGGATGTGGAGGACTGACAAGGAAGCTGGCGGATGGGGGCCTGAGGAGAGTCCGTGAGCGGGTAACAGGGGAGCTGTTGCGGGGCGAACGCGAAGGGTTTAGTTGAAGGGTTTAAGTGCAGCTGAGACAGTGCAAAATGTTTGGCCTTTGAGACTGAAGGCGGCGTTTAGTATCCAAGCCGGCCGCAGTAGTGGGGGGCCCATTTTTGAAGGCACGATAAAAGGCCACTGATGTATCTCGAGGGGCGGATGTGGGGAACGTGGATTAACGAAAATGGGAGCATAGCTTGCATGCCAGTGGAAGTCCCGGGAGGGAAGAGATCACGAGGTAGCTCAACTCGTGAGAACGTGTACCAACGGTCAGCCGAATCGTCATCTAATGCGTGTCTATGCGATTTGCATGGGCCGTGGTTGGCAAGCTCTGCTCATTTGTGTGTATAGTTCTGCTCCATACTTGGCCGAATGTGCTGGATGTTTTTGTTTGTTTCTGTTTTGAAGTGGACAACATTTGGATTGTTATTTGCTGATTACGTCGGATACGTGACTGAACTTGGCACATCGAGCGCTGGATGGGATCCCAGGTGCATCGCATCTGTGGTCGCTGAATGTCAGACCAACCTGTACCATACGTCACGCCCACAAAGTCGGAGCTGTTCATCCACTGATTTTGTTTATGGTTTAGTGCGGGCATGGTGCTGGGAGCATTTGCCCCTGAGGTCTATGGTAGGTGACGGGCGCGTGCCCTAGTGCTGCCGTCTCTGCCTCGTCTGCACTCGCTCTTCGCCTCGGCCACCAGATCCAGGTGGCGATCAAGTGCCTGAGCAAGCAGCGCATGCAGTCCAACCCGACCGAGTTTCTGAAGGAGGCCACCATCATGCACAACATTGAGCACGAGCACATCGTACGTCTGTACGGCGTCGTGCTCGATACCAATGCCCTGATGCTGGTGAGTGAGCGGCGGCCGCCGCCGCCGTCGCGGTCTCTCTACTGTCCGTGGGCGCGGAGGGGCACGGACGATGTTGGTGCACCTCCTCCCACTTCCCCCCCCCCCCCCCCCATTCCAGGTCCGACACAGCGGGGTGGCCACTAGCTCCGTGACGGTGTCGGAAGATCGAACGGCGGCGCAGAATCGTGTGTTGTGCATTCCGCACCTTTTGGGCCTGCTCGATTATTTCCGGGCGGTGTAATTATTTGTCGGAGACTCTATGTTTGATCATATTTTGGACAGTCTATCTGTTCACGCCACTTAACACCTGGTTCTTCGCCTCTGTGTGTGAACGTGGCCGTTTGGCTGGTAGTGGCAGGTGTGTAACCAGTGGACTAGGCTGATATGCTGCGGTCACGTACAGTGCATGGTGTGTGTTTCTGAATGGGGTCCCTTTGATGGCATGCAACAACACTACTTCTGCTACGTTGGACTTCTCCCGTCGCTGAGATAACCTGATGATGGCTAGGGCGTGATCAAAGCGTCCAATGTATTGAGTTTTCGCCGAGTTTTGGCGTTCTGTGCGAGCTGCTGCGGTTGACTGACGGCGTGTCTCCGTGCTCCGGTCCGCGGTCTCCCACCTGAGACCCCTGCCGACCCCAGCTGACCTTCAGTGGTGTGACCCCGTCTGACCCCATGCCTCGCCCTCGGGTCAGGTGACGGAGCTGGCGCCGCTCCGCTCGCTGCTCGAGTGTCTGAAGGAGCCTAACCTGCGCGCCAGCTTCCCCGTGCTGACGCTGTGCGGCTTCGCCATCCAGATCTGCGACGGCATGCAGTACCTCGAGTCCAAGCGACTCATACACAGGTGCGCCGCCCGCCCGCCCGCCCGCTGCCCGTGTGCGTGGCGTGGCGTGTCCCGTGGAAGAGGTGTGGGTTTGGGGGACTGGGTGGCGCGTGGGGGCACCACTAGAGCTCAGGAGCAGCGGGGTGGAAGCGTAGCAGGGTGACGTGACGTGACGTGCGTGAGGGCGGCGGGTACGGCTGTGATGGGGCTGGGGCGAGTTTCGCCAATCCCCTGACAATCAATGCAACAGCTTGCTGGGCCCCGCGTACATTCGTCCACCAGTGGGCAAATATGACTTAACAGAATAAACACGTATCTATGATGGGTCTGTGTAGCAATTTGGTAAGTGCACCTTCCTTTCGGTATCAGGATGAAACACTTATGATTTGCCGAATTATGTTATTAGGCCATGTGAGATTGCCAAATTATGTTATTAGGCCATGTGAGATTAAAGCAACCTGTTAATGCCCTGTCGGGCAAGCATGCATGCAAAAGAGGTGATCATCATCAGACCGATGCAATCAACGATACTGCTGCGATTAGGTTCCCCATGGTTCAATCCACTCATGTACTGGTATAACACATTCCATTTTATCTGCACAATAGCGTATTTTGTACGCATTTCAATCAGCAAGAACTGCTGCCAATCGCCTCAAACTGCTCCGACTTGCCCTTCGAACTCGGCAACATCCACTAGCAGCCGTGTGAATACCTCTATGGTTTGTTTCGCAATGATTGGGTGAAACGAACTGAGCTAGTTACCTCCATATTTATGGGAACTCTGGGACTTTGAGACCTAGCGAGAACCTCTAACCTGTCGCGTCCGGATCGCAGTCGATGTTTTTGGTGCGAATGTCGCCAGTAGATAGCGCGGCGCCGCTCTACCGCTCACCTCACCTGGCGAGGGCGGCAAAGATAATGCTCTCATGGCTTTAAGATCATGTGCATCTAGGCGCGGATGTCAGGGGATTTGGGCACGTTGCGACATACGTGGACACCGCGATGACGTGAAGCTAGTGCCAAGCCTAGTCGTGGCCTCTCTGGACGCCGATCTTACCGGGAAAACGTTCTCATGGCGTCTCGCGGTATCTCATTGCTCCCCGCCGAATCCCTCGGGGACAGGCTGGGAAGTTGTCTGAGGGTCTGCTCTGCTGCGGAAGTCATGGCTATGGCTCAACCGGCGGCATCACGAGAGCAGAAGAAGCCTTGCCCGCTCGTGTTACCATGCCATCACCACTCACCAAGTTATGCCTGTGTTGCAGAGATCTAGCAGCGCGCAACATTCTCGTGTTTTCCAAGAATACTATCAAGATATCCGACTTTGGCTTGTCACGGATGCTGGGCGTGGGCAAGGACTACTACCAGACGAACTTCAACGTCAACCTGAAGCTGCCCATAGCATGGTAACATGTTAGCTGACAACTTGATGCATGGCTGATGTGTTTTGGTCAGTTTCTTATTTTTCCTTGTGTGCAGCAATGAGTACGCATGCATGATGTGTGATGGACTCTGGTTTGTGTTGTCGGTGCCATTTTCCTTACTTTGCTGACTTCAAGTATCATCCTAGCTTTAATAATCATTCGAATTTGAGCCCTTTATAGCTTCTATTCTGGTCATTTGTACTAAATTGTGATATTGGTGTGCAAGTCGGGCCATCTCTAGTACTCTTTCACCCGTGCTTACCAGTCTCACGTACCCAGCTGTAGCACCCTTTTCGATACGATTATCGCTGCCTGTCCAGGGGTCTCCTGACCATCTCAGTCTGTGACCTGTCACATGGTGTCACTCCCCCCCCCCCCCCCCACTGGCGCCAAAACTTGCTAACTGTGGGCGTGCGGCGGCCAGGTGCGCGCCGGAGTGCATCAACTACCTGCGCTTCACGTCGTCGAGCGACGTCTGGGCGTACGGCGTGACGCTGTGGGAGATGTTCAGCTACGGCTTCCAGCCGTGGGCGGCGCTCACCGGCCAGCAGATTCTCGAGGCCATCGACGAGCCCAACTTCCAGGTGCGGTCAGCAGCCGGAGGTCACCGGGGGGCGGCGGCCGTACCGGCTGCTTGGGCCAGTGACCACGCGTGAGGCACCACCTTTCCGTGGTGGTGGTGGTGGGGGGGGGGGGGATTGTGTGCCCCAATGGTCTTGCGGGCGGTCGGGGAGTCTTGTAAAGCGCCCCTTCCGGCCAAAGAGGAAGAGCCAGACCAATCGTGCCTCCCGGAGGGGCTCTGACCTCGGTCAGTGAAGGGATTAGCAACTCCTCGGCCTTAGCTTTCAATTTTATCAGGGTTGCCGTGCCGGGTTGTGCCCCACAGGAGCGATGAAGGAGTCCTGGGCGCTGAGTTGGCCGCCTTGCTGGTCAGCCTTGGCGCCCATCAACACTCACCTTTGGCCTGAATTTGCCTACCTGCGGACCACGTCTCGATTTGGTCAATGCTGGGAATCGACGCGCAGCTGGTAGTCTGACCCGGGCGATGGAGCACGCAGAGCGTAAACCGGGAGGTTTTCATTCGGACATGTGAGATAAGGAGTGCTCATCAGCAGAGGGACAGCACATCGTCACTAAAAGACAATTTCTCCACTATGTTGGTAACACTGGTTGGTAGCTGTTTGCGTCGCACGTCCAGCCATCCGCGTAGAACCCCTGTCCCACGTTGTTCACCGAAGGCAAAGATGCTATAACATACGGAAAGCACGCATTTTAAAAGTGCAACAGTCATCCGACCACACAAAACATGATGACTACAAACGTTCCAAGGCCATTGCGAGGCCTGATATCCTGATTGCAAAACAAGCGTCGTGGAGAGAATGTGTTTCCAAAGTAGGCAGGTTTACTTCAGTTAAACAAGTTTGGCCGCGAGTTCAGCGCGTCGCTGGAAAGTTTCATCCACGCTCCTTCCAACATTGACCACTGGTGGTGCGGAAGTTGTAAACTCTGTTGACGTGGCGAATGCCATTGCTAGAGCTTTCTCGGAACGATCCCGAACGATACCGATATGGAATACGACATCTAGTGTTTGCCCGACGCAAGACACAGTGTCAATCATCTGGTTTGAACTTCTTGTCCAGAGAGGCTTATTCCTATGATGCATTGTGTACGCTTTCCGGAATGCATCATGCCATGCCATCCTTTAAAAAACGTTTCATGAGTCCCTGACTGCATGGACAACTTGGTGTTCTGACATTTACCACCGAACAGTGCGGGGTCGCTTCTTGATATATTTAATTTCATGTGGACAAACAACGATTTTCCTGCTTCATGGGGAGGGGCAATCGTTATACCATCTTGAAACCAGGGAAAGAGGGAAGATCATCTGGACTATCGTGCAATAGCTTCAACGTGATGTGTATGTGAACTGTTCGAAAAAATTATAAACGCTCGTCTAATTGGGTACTTATCCATTCTTTCCAACGCCCAGTGTGGCCTCAGGAAAAATTACTGTACTTTGGATCATCTGGTGAACTCAGAGGTGTCAGTACGGAAGCTTTCCAACAACGACAGCATCTTTTAGCTACGTTTTACGACATTGCGAAAGCCTATGACACGACATGGAAGTGCATTATTCTAATGCAGCTCTACAAATGCGATGTTAGACGACGCATGGGTATGTTCCTGTCTTCGTTGTTCTTCGGAATGGATCCTTCAAAGTCCGTGTAAGCACGGCCCCGTCGACTATATACCGCAAAGAAATAGCGTTTCGCGGGGCAGCGTTCTCAGCGATGCGCTCTTTGCCATCATAGTTAATGACATTACTGAATTTTTGAATTAATGAATTTTGAAAATTAATGAATATTCGACACCAGGCTACGGTGTATCATATTCGATAGCAGGCTACGGTGTATCACATTCGATACCAGGCTACGCTTTTTGTCAAGGACCTTGCCATGTTGCCTCACTGTGGCGAATCCATGTACGCTATATTCTCCGACTCTTTAAGCCCTCCGGTGATCTTGCAGCAAGCAAGTCAGCAGCACAAAATCGCTGAAGAAATAATGCACACATTGCTTACCTTGGAGCAGGGTAACAAGCGTGTTGTTTTCGCCTGGATGCCTAGTCACGCCCGGATATCCGGACACGAACAGGCTGATTCTCTAGCCCAACAAGCTGCCGCGGTCCTCGTTTGGCCTGAAAGGAGACATCAGCATCACGTCTCAAGGACGTATTTTACAGTGATCTAAAAACACAATGGGAACGCATTTGAGATGAACTAGGTACAGATATTACCCGCAGACCGAACAAGCGCTGAGCCATTAAAGCGCAGATCGGTGAATAGAAATTATCATACTTTAAAATAGACCCGACGAAGTAAAACTTTGCCAGTTACCATAGGCCACACGTATGAGACGCACTCTTGCCTGCTCTACGAGGAGGCTCGGCCCCTTTGCCGCAGATGCGGAGCAACTTGGTCCGCGGCCCATGTACTAGCTGGGTGTGGGAACTACGAGACTGAGCGAAACCGGTATTTTAATATGAATCGCATTCCCCTGACCTGGCTACTGGGTGGTCCGCCGTCGGACGATCTTCGGGCAGTTTTTGCCTTTTTCAAAGACATTGACTTCAAGCTCTCGTACTCAGCGACCTAGATAATTGGCAGATGGGCCACATAACTCCTATGCGCTTTGTTGTCTACGCTGTTCGGCTTTGGTACGCAGCTGACGGGCTTTCTGAATGACTAATACATCGGTGACAATCTGGCGGCATAGTTTTGAGTATAGTTCTGTTGACATGGGTTCGTAAGAATAAGACATGGGCGCGGATAAGCAAGACAAGAAAAACCCTTCCCGCCAGGGTGAGAGGTAGGCGGCGACATGTAACCTCAGCAGCTGAGCGCGTCGTAAGATCCCAATGACGACAAGGGAGGGAGGGAGGGAGACCAGGGCCAGGTAGTGAGTGTGGCCGCAGCCCGTGGCTTCTGACCGTCCCCTTGCTCTCACCCCGCCAGCGTTTGGAGCAGCCGGACACGTGTCCCAAGGACTGCTACAACTTGATGATCAAGTGCTGGCAACACGACCCCAACAAGCGGCCCAACTTTCGCGACCTGGCCGAGATGTTACCTGAGGTGAGTCTGCTCGCGCCCGCCGGCCGTGTCCGCCGTAACGCCGCGCCAACTGTCGGAAGGAGCGACGACATTCACCGATGTTTGGGGACAGGCGTGTCTGTTAGGTGACCGCGTGATGATTGGCCGCCGGTAAGCACGCCCCTGAATGTTCCCATGTAACACACCGGCTCAGTTACCAGCACACCCTCGGGAATTATGACAGCTTGGAATGTGTTGGCTTCTGGTTGGTTGGGATGTCTGGGTCCGAATCCCGACGCGCTGACCGTTGCACGTCTCGGGCGCCGTCGCTGAGGATGCCTATTTACCGCCACTAGGCCCCGCCCATACCGGCCCACCAATGTGTCGCGCATGACGCCCCGCCCCGTAAAATGTTGCGGTCATCAACATGGGCAAAACCTGGCGCTGTTGAGAATTTCCCGCGCTGGGAGTTGAACCGGACCTGCCGTATTGCAGTGTAAGCCGGAGCAGGTGCAGGCAGTGCAGGCGGCGGCCAGCGAGCCCACGTCGCCCACCAAGCGTGACCGACTGCCATACGACGTCGGCGATGTGGTCACCGTGCTGGACAAGCGGTACGGCGGCGCCGGCGCGGCCCCGGCAGGCCGCTGGGCCGGTGACAGACGCGGACGCTGGCCCCAGCAGCCGTACCGTGACGCCGTGATGGCTGTGCGTGTGACGTTCGGCTCGTGGTAGCCCTGGGTCTCTCGATATGGAGGCACATATTGCGGTTGTGTATCAATAGATATCCACTTACGTCTGCTTGTTAGGGATTGTTTATTCTGCCGAGAGCGCTGTCGGACCGCCGTCAGCTGGCGCGCATTGCAGAGGCGCCGGTAACGCCCTAGCGCTGACGTGCGCCGCCTGTCCGCAGGCCCGTGGCCGACCACCCCAACCTGTGGAAGGGCGTCACGGCGCTTGGCAAGACGGGCCTCTTCAACCCGTCTCACTTCGTGGCCTACCTGGGCAGCAACCTGCCGTCCAGCAGCGGGCAGCCGCCGGCACCGTTCAGCCGCGGCGGTGCGTCCGACGCGCGGCAGCCGGGCCGGCCGGCCGGCGCCGTCACGCGTCCAGTCGACCTGTGGGGCGGTGTGTGCGGGAGCTGGCCTGGCATGGTTCCCCCGCCCGCCGTCGTGCGCCGACCTTAGGTTGAGCAGCCGTGGGTTAGCCGGGCGCTGCCAGCCACGGGCTCGCTGTCGGTGGGCCATTCCTCTTGCCATTATCTGCCGAGCCTCGGGCTGGACGTGTCCTGGTAACCAGCGTCTTTTTTTGTCCGCCGTGGCGCGGCGGGACCGGCCCGTCGGCGCTCCGGGTGGTCCCGCCTGACAGCTGACGGTGCCCCGCAGAGGCGAAGGCGGCCTACTCGTCCAAGCGGCGGCTGAAGCCGGAGATGATCTCGGCGCCGCAGGATGACCTCAAGCACACCGGCCACGTCGGCATGGACGGCACCCACTTCGGCGATGTCTCCTTCCTCGGCGACAAGGTCAGGCGCCCGCCACACTGGTCAGCATGCGAAGCGGTCGGCGGCAGGGACGCAGACGGGGCCCAGTGGCACCTCTGGCCACCCCTGGCAGCTCGCAGTCGCGTCATCTCGGCCAGTGCGGCGGCAGGGACGCAGACGGGGCCCAGTGGCACCTCCGGTCACCCCTGGCAGTTCGCAGTCGCGTCGCTGTTCAGCCAGTGCAGCTGTATGGTTCTGTGGCCCAACAGCGAGTGTCGCTGCGCCGTCGCGCTGGCTGCAGGGGCTGGGCCAGAGTGCACGCGCGTCAGGCCTACAGCTCTTCGGGTCTGAAGCGGTGCGGGAATATTGATAAGTGAAGCATTCAGATGTAGCTGTATGAGTTGTCTTTTGTCTATATTCCATCAGTGTGTAAGGGACATCTGTTTTGCTGGTGGCCCTGCCAGCGTCGACTCGTAGCCTACCTCAGTAAACAAGACTGAAATGACTCGCGTGCATGGCTGTATGGGTGCAAATGCAAACAACGGCGTCACAGCCACGTGTGCCAACGGTGCTCTCGGTCGCCCCGGCCCGGCCGTGTCCGTGGCGCCGGCGATCGCTGACGGCTGCGGCGTTGTCCGCAGCGACAGCAGCTGCCGCGGCAGGTGGTGAGCCCGTATAAGCCGCAGGACGACATGCGCACAGCGCTGCTGACGCGCGCCGAGTCGGACGTCTCGGACCGCGCGCCGCTGCTCGCCACCGCCGACTCGGCCGCCAGGGGCGCTGCTGCAGGTGAGGGGGCAGCGACGGTGCCCGACTTAGGCCCTGAGCCTCTCTAGTTTCTGATTTGCGCGCCCGGGGAGATGTGCAGACCATTTCGAGGAAACTATTTCACGGCTACCCAAGCATCCATGACACCATGATGACATCATTCAAAGCCTGTCATTCCACAAGCCATGCGGCGATCAGGACTAAGAAAAATATAATTGTCGAGTTGTTTATACCTGGTGTCCGTGAGCACGATTTCTAGGTATAACGGCCATCAATTGGCTCTCAATCAGTGCTGTGCATGGTACGATGACGTATCAGGCAATGACGTTTTGAAGAGCCTATATTAAACGGAGGAATTGCGTTGTCTTAGACTAGTCTTGTCCCCTTAAATGCATACCAATGGTAATGAGTAAGCTGATGTTTGCTTCAATATGTTCCAATGTGGAACATTCCCTTTAAGAACATGGCGGGGACTGGCGGAGGAGCGCGAGGGTAGCTGAGGGGACTGTGGCGGAGGAGCGCGAGGGTAGCTGAGAGGACTGTGGCGGAGGAGCGCGAGAGTAGCTAAGGGGACTGTGGCGGAGGAGCGCGAGGGTAGCTGAGAGGACTGTGGCGGAGGAGCGCGAGGGTAGCTGAGGGGACTGTGGCGGAGGAGCGCGAGGGTAGCTGAGGGGACTGTGGCGGAGGAGCGCGAGGGTAGCTGAGGGGACTGTGGCGGAGGAGCGCGAGGGTAGCTGAGGGGACTGTGGCGGAGGAGCGCGAGGGTAGCTGAGAGGACTGTGGCGGAGGAGCGCGAGGGTAGCTGAGGGGACTGTGGCGGAGGAGCGCGAGGGTAGCTGAGAGGACTGTGGCGGAGGAGCGCGAGGGTAGCTTAGGGGACTGTGGCGGAGGAGCGCGAGGGTAGCTGAGGGGACTGTGGCGGGGGAGCGCGAGGGTAGCTGAGGGGTCTGTGGCGGAGGAGCGCGAGGGTAGCTGAAAGGACTGGCGGAGGAGCACGAGGGTAACTGAGGGGACTGTGGCGGAGGAGCGCGAGGGTAGCTGAGGGGCGGGACGCCACCGAGCTTGCAGGAGAGCCGGTATGCCAGCTGGCAGGCCAGCTGGAGCGAGCTGACCGTACGTCGGCCGTCAGACGGCGTACATGTCGTTCCCGCTGCGGCAGCTCTCCCCACCACGCGTCGGTAAAGGTGCGTCGGTTAGGTTGGGACCTTTGAGTTGATCTGCGGCACTCTGGATCACCTCCGTGCGCCGGCGTAGCGGAGAGCCGTGTGACGGCTCGTGGCGTCTCATGTGACGGCTCGTGGCGTCTCGCGTGACGACTCGTGGCGTCCCATGTGACGGCTCGTGGCGTCTCGCGTGACGACTCGTGGCGTCCCATGTGACGGCTCGTGGTGTCTCGCGTGACGACTCGTGGCGTCCCATGTGACGGCTCGTGGTGTCTCGCGTGACGACTCGTGGCGTCCCATGTGACGGCTCGTGGCGTCTCGCGTGACGATTCGTGGCGTCCCATGTGACGGCTCGTGGCGTCTCATGTAACGGCCCGTGGCGTCTCACGTGACGCTCGTGGCGTCTCACGTGACGGCTCGTGGCGTCTCATGTGACGGCCCGTGGCGTCTCACGTGACGGCTCGTGGCGTCTCGTGTGACGCTCGTGGCGTCTCATGTGACGGCCCGTGGCGTCTCGTGTGACGGCTCGTGGCGTCTCATGTGACGGCTCGTGGCGTCTCGTGTGACGCTCGTGGCGTCTCGTGTGACGGCTCGCAGCGTCTCGTGTGACGGCTCGTGGCGTCTCACGTGACGTCCGCACGGCCTGCCGAGGAGCCGGAAGCCCCTTTCCAGCGGCGCAGCTGTTTGCAGCAGTCGCAGGCTGGCATGACGGACCAGGCTGAGTCGATGCCTATCCTGTCAGACCGCTGCCCAGTTATCGTCTCCGTCGCCTGGGAGTGCGGTGGCCACCTGTCACGGTCGGGTGCGGAGCTCAGGCTTCTCGCCGCCTCCCGAGCAAACTCGGTCGGACGCTGCTGATGAAATCTTGGCCGGTGTTGTCAGGTCGGGCTCCTGTGCACGGATGCACGAATGCATCGCCACGCTGGTGGTGATGCGTGCAGTAATCGCGGTATGACCTATAATCTACGCGGGCCCAGCACCTCGGTCGGTACTGTGAAGTGCAGAGCTATTCATCCTTAACTCGATATCATTGCCGGACGCCGCCTGTGCTTAAAGGGAGTGGACTGAAATGCTCATGCATCGAAGCACCAGGATGTGGTTTTAGAAGCCAGTGGGCATCTCGAGCGTTCTGCCAGTTCAAGATGCGATTGAATCAATAACCCACTTATCACGTGCTTTGCAACATAATGTAGTGCCGTGCGGTATTGGCATGTGGAGAATCCGCGAAAGCAGCACATTTACACGAAAAGGAAACACCGCCCTCAGCCCAGCTTGCACAGTGTAGGTGGTGATGTGCCGCGGGGGCGCGGGTGGGTCGGTGTGTGTGTGTGGGTGTGGGTGTGTTATCAGCGGAGGTGATGGTCCACTGAGTGGCGCGTGTGTTCGGGCCGCCCTGGGTGACGGCCACCTGCGTCTGTGCCGGCCGCGGCTGGTCCCTATCGGTGCCGGCACCGTGATAACCTGCTGGGCCGGGCTGTCGCTGTCGCGGACAGCGGCCGGAAGCCTGCTGACGCCGTTGGCAGCGGCCCGAGGCCTGCTGACGCCGTGGGCAGCGGCCCGAGGCCTGCTGGTGCCGTGGGCAGCGGCCCGAAGCCTGCTGACGCCGTGGGCAGCGACCCGAGACCTGCTGACGCTGTGGGCAGCGGCCCGAGGCCTGCTGACGCCGTGGGTAGCGGCATGTGATGGGATGACGGCGATCATGACGACTTAATGAGAATGTCACGGCTGAGTCCGTACCGTACTTCCCTGCGTGTCAGACGCCATCAAACGCCAGCAACAGCACAGCACTATGCGAACGCCCCCGCGTGCCCCGGGCCAGCACCACCGCAGGCCCCCGTCCCCTGTCGGGCGGTCGGAGCGAACCCAGTTCACACCGTCGTGCCCGCGCTGCCGACCCTCGTCCGCCGCCCATTACTGGGAAGGTCGTCGTAAAGGCCAGGTGGTGCGGGCGAACGCCATTGTTCCCGGTCCGTGCCGTGTCGCGCGTCGACTCAAGGCTCGCCGCGCTCCGACCGTGACCCCACTGCCGGCGCGCGCTGAGGGCGCGCGTCCCCGGCCGCGCCGGCGCGGGGCGCCCAGGGCTGCGACGACCGCGGTGTCGCCGGACGGCAGTCGGGCGGGACGCCTCTCGGCGCCGACCGTGACCCCGCTGAGGGCGCGCATCCCCGGCCGCGCCGGTGAGGGGCGCTGAGGGCTGCGACGACCGCGGTGCCGCCGGACGGCAGTCGGGCGGGACGCCTCTCGGCGCCGGCCGTGACCCCGCTGAGGGCGCGCGTCCCCGGCCGCGCCGGCGCGAAGCGCCGAGGGCTGCGGCGACCGCGGTGCCTCCGGGCGGCAGTCGGACGGGACGCCTCTCGGCGCCGGCCGTGTCTGAAGCGGCGCCGTGAGCCGGCGCCCGCCGGCGCCGTCCCGGCCTGCGTGCCTCTGGCTCGGCGCGGCCTCGGAGCGTGACCTGCGGCCGCTGGTGGCACGGTGGGACCGGGCGCAGGTGGTGCGTGCGCCCGCCGCCCTGCCGCCGCCGCCGCCGCGCTGTCTACCCGGTCTGTGACGTCATGCCGTCCGTCAGCGGACTGCCGGGCCGGGCGTCGCCGCGCCGCAGCGCGCAGCGGGCACACTTCAGAAGAATTTTGTGGCGTCTAGCTGATGCTGTTCCATCGAAGTGGGAGTGATGCCGCTTCTCACTGCAGGAAGTGTTGGAGCGTCCCACTATTGGCGCGGCAGGGGAAGACCATTCACCGTCTCGACATGCCTTTGTCGCTGTTTCGATACACCTCTATTTGCATCGATGAACTGCAGTTACAGTAATATCTCTAGCGCCTGCACTGCACTTCGATAAATCCGGTTTGAGGTCAGCAAGGCCTTTCCGGATATCTCTTATGAATCATGATTTACAGTCCGCTGGCTTGGTTTGACCTTTCGGATTGTAAAGAGCAATTGCTTCGTTAGGCTGTTCTTAGTACGGAGCTGAGTTTTGAGGAGATAAGTCATATCATTGTCTCGTTACCAGAAAATCTCAATATCGGTCGTCCCTTTTTCGAAGCGCGTGCTATCAGCCGTTCGCGCCGTGTTTGCGTGTATGCAGTCCGTGCATGCTGCATGGAGGAAAACCATCGGGTATTATTAGCGCTTGATGCCCTCGTCGATGTCCGAAAGCATCCACGTGGATGGCCACGGCGTGTGCCTCCGGATGTTCGTTTGTGCTCGTGTGCTGTGACCCGATCATCAATAGTAAGCAGTGCCTCAATATTCAAACAGATGCGATCAAAATTACTGCACGAGGCGCGGCTTTGGACCATGATGAGTGGTGTGCGCCTCAGATCGTGGCGGTGGCTGGTGCTCGCGTACCCTGCACTCGGCCACGGAGGCGTTCCTCACCGGAGCTTGAGGAATTCCTGGGTGACGGTCAGTCGCGCCGGCCGTCTGCAGCCCGTCACGGCCGCCCCCCCCCCCCCCTTCCCCCTCCTTCGCCTGCCACGCCGCCGGACGTTTTTTGTCGCCACCTTTATCGACGTGCTCAGCCGCATATCGCGTGTCAGCATCGCTCGTAAATCCGTCATCGGCCGTCGATGCGGTGTGCTGGAGCGGCGTCGGTCGAGCGCGGCAGGAGGTCGGCCGGTCGCGGGCGGCCCCGGCGCGCCATCTGCACCGGAAAGGGGCCCCTTCCGGCGGCGCGGGTAGACCGGCGTGGCGTAGTCGGCCGGCTTCGGTGCGGGAAAGTTGCCGACATTAGCGCAAGCCTGATAAACATCTGCTGTTTTCCGTGTCCATGACGTTTGCACGGCCTTGGTTTGTGACCAGGCGCCTCCGAGGTTTGCAGCATGGCCGCCCTGTCAGAGGGCGTTTGGCTGGTCGCAGGCCATTTATCCTGCCACGGACCAACCTGTAACGTGTATGTCAAGACGGGCCTCATGCCGCGCGCGATAAGTGGCACGATGTTTTGCCATGCCAAGAACGTTATCGAATACGTGATGCTTCTGCCAGAGTGCTGCTTCCGAGCATTCCCTTTAGAAGACTGTAGAAAAGGCCGGATCGGTCACCTGGACAAGAGGTTAAAGTAGCCTTATCGGTGGGCTCGACTGGGCTGCTTCTGTTGAGAATGTCCGCCACCCCAGGCGAGGCGTGGTCCGCCTGTAGTGTGTCCCGCAATACGAGATAGATGTGGATAGTGGGGACTCTTCCTACTGGACTGTTTCCGTAATCGGGTTTTTACCTGTGGCATGTTTATTTCCTAACTAAACAAATACACTTTGGATACTCCTCTTGGGACATGGCTGTGTTCTGTCCTTGTATTGGGATACACATATTGGATGTCTTCCACGCGTGTGTTCCGCACAGTGGGGCTCATGGCTGCATAGGCACGACGCGGTCGGCTCCGAGTGTACCAGCTGCCGCGTCTGAACGGAGAAGAAGGTGGCTCCAACGGGAGATTGTCGTCTTGCTGTTGGAAAAGAAATGTTCTGAAAGCCTGCGAAAGAGTTCTTTGTGGGAGCAAATTCGGACTGTGGCTGATAACTTACTGAACTGTTGAAGCGACGCGGGCCTCCGCTACGCAAACGACACTTAGTAGCAGCATGTACCGCCATCTGTTGCTGCAGTCGACAAAGGCCTGTGATAGCGTCTGTCAAGATATGCCGTCGTAAATATCGCCGCGGCCGGTCGTGGGCGGGCTGGTTATGTTGACTAAGCTGTGAGTCAAGACTAGGCCTGTATTCGCCCTCGTGCATATTGCGGGAAACGGGAGGCGGCTGGTATATTCTCTTTAGAAAAGTTACTAGCAGCCCTCTATCTACAGTACATTCTGGATGCGTTTTCGCAAGTCCTGGGGGGCACCCCGTGACGCATTTGCTAAGCATTAAAAAACACAATCGCTTGCACCAACCCATAACTAATGTCAAATGCGCCCACTCTGTCCGCTGCCGGCACCTCGCCCGGCTGCCCAGGCATCGGCAGCTCCCCGTGCTGAAGGCGCCGCCAGCAGCACCGCCCGGCGGCAGCTATCGCCCGCCGCGGCTATTATCGCCGCTGGCCGCCAGATAGCGGGCAGAGAGGTGCCGGCTGCTGGCTGCCGCCGCCAGTGGGCCGCGCTCGCTCGCCCGTCCCGGCAGCGGCGGCATCTCTCGCTGGTGGCGGACGTCGGTGGCCGGCGGCCGTCTGAGGCAGCGCTGGTCGTGCCGCCGCGCGCCCAGCTTCAGGCGCTGTGCGAACCGTGGCGCCCGGCGTCCTCCGCTGCATCGGCGCCGGGACGCACCGGCGGGCCCGAGGCCGCCATGTCGAGCGCGGCGCGGCTGCGGCTCTGGCGACGTCGGCCGAGCCCTCGCCAGGGCGTCGTGAACCGCGGCTTCCAGACGGACGTGCTCGAGTGCGCCGCCAAGCTGCACAACCGCGACTCGGGCTTTATCGGTACGTGCGGAGCCGAGGCCAGCTGGCCGGCGCTCGGGACGGTGGAGAGCCCGGGCTGCCGTGGCTCGCAGACCGCGGGCCGGCGCTCGGGATGGTGGAGAGCCCGGGCTACTGTGGCTCGCAGACTGCGGGCCGGTGCTCGGGACGGTGGAGAGCCCGGGCTACTGTGGCTCGCAGACTGCGGGCCGGTGCTCGGGATGGTGGAGAGCCCGGGGTGCCGTGGCCCGCAGACTGCGGCCCGGTGTTTGGAGCGGGGAGCTCGGGCTGCCGTGGCTGGCAGACTGCGGGCCGGTGCTCGTGACAGTGGGGGGCCCGGGCTGCCGTGGCTGGCAGACTGCGGGCCGGTGCTCGTGACAGTGGAGAGCCCGGGCTACTGTGGCTCGCAGACTGCGGGCCGGTGCTCGGGACGGTGGAGAGCCCGGGCTACTGTGGCTCGCAGACTGCGGGCCGGTGCTCGGGATGGTGGAGAGCCCGGGGTGCCGTGGCCCGCAGACTGCGGCCCGGTGTTTGGAGCGGGGAGCCCGGGCTGCCGTGGCTGGCAGACTGCGGGCCGGTGCTCGTGACAGTGGGGGGCCCGGGCTGCCGTGGCTGGCAGACTGCGGGCCGGTGCTCGTGACAGTGGAGAGCCCGGGCTGCCCTTGGCTCGCAGACTGCGGGCCGGTGCTCGTGACAGTGGAGAGCCCGAGCTGCGTTGGCTCGCAGACTGCGGGCCGGCGCTCGGGACGGTGGAGAGCCCGGGCTGCCGTGGCTCGCAGACTGCGGGCCGGTGCTCTTCACAAGACCTCCGTCTGTACAGGGCCTCCGTCTGTACGCTGGTGAGGCAGACGTGTCTCGGTTGTGGACGGGCCTCCCTCTGTGCGCTGGTGAGGCAGGCGTGTCTCGGTTGTGGGCGGGCCTCCCTCTGTACGCTGGTGAGGCAGGCGTGTCCCGGTTGTGGGCGGGCCTCCCTCTGTACACTGGTGAGGCAGGCGTGTCTCGGTTGTGGACGGGCCTCCCTCTGTACGCTGGTGAGGCAGACGTGTCTCGGTTGTGGACGGGCCTCGCTCTGTACGCTGGTGAGGCAGACGTGTCTCGGTTGTGGACGGGCCTCCCTCTGTACGCTGGTGAGGCAGGCGTGTCCCGGTTGTGGGCGGGCCTCCCTCTGTACACTGGTGAGGCAGGCGTGTCTCGGTTGTGGACGGGCCTCCCTCTGTACGCTGGTGAGGCAGACGTGACTCGGTTGTGGACGGGCCTCGCTCTGTACGCTGGCGAGGCAGGCGCGTGCCGACGCCCCCGGGGCTGCAGCTGATCTGCGGCCGCCCGGTCATCACTGTTGACTCAGCCGTACTACGTCGGCCCCTGAGTCAGTGGTGTCCCAGTGATCGGCGTAATCGAGCGGTCGTGGGAACTCAGCCGCTATCGGTCGGCGCCGGCGCCCTCGGCGGTCGCGTCTTCAGCTGACTGCTGCGACGGCTGGTGCTGGGCAAGTCCGGCCGATAGGCAAAACACTCGAGAGCCGCTTATGTGTAGGAGTTTAAAGGTGTGATATTGTATATTACTTCGAACGGTTTGCGTGGCTAGCTCCTGGTTTGAGAGCACTCTAATCGTATAATTTGGCCACAGGCCGTGGGGCCAGGCAGGACTTCGAACAGGCTCACATGCAGCAGCCCGGCCGCGCTGGGCCAGGCCTGCCCTCCACTGGTCAGCTGTCTTGTCTGTGTCATTCGGGTCAGATGGTGCTCACCCGTTCTGGGACTGATATCTGGAGCTGCTGCATTATGAAGCCAGCGTTGTCTTGCTGAACCGCTGAGATGGATTGTTTGTGGTTATTGTTTGCTGTTCTAAGTTAAGTTTTGGGAGCCTGTTTTCCGCCGTAGAAATCTGTGGACGGATGTGGAGTAACTGTACCTTGTCGGAACGTTTTAATTTGATTAACCTGTAACCTTTTTATCTGATTTGTGTAGCGATTATTTGTTTTGCTATGACAATGGAATCAAATATTATATATAGCCACACAACGTAGTTCGTCAATGCACATTTTCAATGGTAATGGAACCTTATGCATGTTTCGAATCCATGGCGATGCCGCAGTTGTAACCCCTGACATATTTCCCTGATTAGAAAAAACAAATATTCGGTGCTTGTTGTATAATCCAGCATGCCTTTATGCCCGTTTTTGTCAAGTCTTGGCAGCCACAAGTCGTTGGTTGTTCTCCGTCTCGGCAGAGCCGTTCCACACCAGCACGCCAGCCGTGTGTGTCGTGTTCTCCGCCCTCCCGTGCACGCCCTTTCCGTATGGATGCCGGTAGCTCAGTGCTGGAGCCACGCGGCCCGGCAAACCAAGGGTACGGGGTTCGATTCCCCGCGGTGCCCGTCCTTCTGCCAGGGTGAGAAGTGGGTGACGTCAGATGACCTCCGCAGCTGATCTGCAGCGTTGCTTTGTCGGCAGAGCTGTCGGCTGACACCGTGTGGGAGCGAGATGCGCCGCCGGACCGACCGGCCGCCCGAGGCGACATCTACCGCCGTGTGGTCGGCACCAGAGGGCAGCACGAGTACCACGAGATCAGTGACGAGGAGGCCGAGGTGGCCGGGGCCGCGGCGCCCGCTGCCGCCACCAGCCCTCCCTTCCAGAGCGACGTGAGTCGGGGGCGGGACGGCGCGGCGTTCCCGCCATTCCAGAACGCATTGCGCTCGGGGCGGGAGAAGCGAGAGAGCTCACTTCAACGCCATCTACAAAGTGATGTGAGTCTGAGTATAAGACGAGCGGGAGAAGACACGTCGCCAGTGACGTCAGAATCACGTCACTGGTGCGGGCTCCCGCCCATTCCGCAGCGCTCACTGATAGTAATTGGGGCCGGAACACAAACTACAAGCTCAGTGGCACCGGAGGTGATCGATGACAGACGCGAGATAGTGCAACTTGGACTGACGTGCAGGTAATGTGTCATAAAATAATCCTGAGATACACGAGGCCGTTGCAGCGCTTCACTGTCCTATCTTGAAGTGACAATCTAACTGGGCCATTCCTCTCGGCCGGTCAACAGCTTGTCACGATATTCTTTGTTGAACAAATATAGACAGGCCCAGTCACACATTGACTAGCCCGCCGCCGGCGTCATTATCAGCCGTCACTATCTCTACCCTCGAGCCGCCGTCCCGTTGAGTGGTTAAGCCGCTTCGCGATCCATTGACGGCTGGGTGCTGCTACTCCGTTGCTCACTGCCACGCCTTTGGTGCAGCGACCGGGACGGCTGGAGGAGCGTCCTGCCCTCGTGCGGTCCCCGCTGTCCGGTGGGCGGCCCGTGGTGGCGCGGTCCGTGACGCCGCGTTGTCTTGCCTTCCCGCGGTGGGGCGGCGGCCGACCGGTGACGCGTTCACGCTCCTCCCGTGGTGCGCCGCGCGCTCTGAGTAAGGGAGGGGGCGTATCTCGAGCAGTGCCCACCCTCTCGGAGTGGAGCCGGCAGTGGCGGCGGCGGCCGAGGTGAGGCGGCTGGGCTTCAGGGGGGCTGCGGGCGGCGGCGACCACCGCGGCTGCAGCGGGCAGCGGCCGGAAACACGGGCTGAGTCAAGTCAAAAGCCTGTCGCATTTTGCTCTGGCCGCTTTGATCACGAATTGATACGACAAGCACTAGCAAGGCTCGAACGGCGGATAGCTAGAGCCTGCCAATGAAGGTGAGTTGCGCGACGTAACCGCCGCTCTCTGCGCTTCTGTTGGCTTTGTTCCTACTGTGACATTCAACCTCGGTCGTGCCAGTGTCGGCAGGAGATGGTGCGTTTTTGTGGTACGCATCATTGCACTGTTTTTCTCCTTGGCGCTCTAGGTCCTGTTTGTGCAGCCTCACCTTTGTTTCACAATCTCGCATCCTGTCCTCATTGCCCCCCCCCCCCCTTCCCCTACACTTCCCGGACGCTGCAACATGGTGGCTTTCTTGTGGTTCTGTCCTTTTCTAGTGACTTGTACGCTCAGTATGTTGATTCTCGTTTGTTCTCTCTTCGTTCGCTCACTTTATTGGGTGTTTGAGTAGTGTATTTTGTCTCCCAGGGCACGTTACCGAGGCGATAATCGTGGCATTTGGCCATAAAATAAATATGTCAGGGAGCAAGCCCCTTGAAAACCGATGTTCATCTGTCCCGACGCAAGAGGGCCTAACGTCCGGAGTTCCACCCGCCTCCTGGCGACCAGGCTTTCATTGATGATGGGTTCCTGCGAAGCCATCGAACACTGACTCAGATGATCACGGTCGCGTGCTCTGCCGCATATCGATCTGCTCTAAACAGCGGCTTAATTCAGCAGCAGCGCCTTCCTGGCCGGACGCTGTGTATTACCACTTCAGTTTGCCCTGGGGCATGGAACTGGGGCAGCTGCGTTACACCAAGATCACGTCCGGCGGCGTCCACATGTGGTGTCACCGGCAACAGTATGCCAGGGTCACATTGTGAGGTCGTATTTCACTTCTCGTGAATGCATTCACTGCAGCTCCCAACCATCGCGGAAAAGTGCACTTGCAGGCAAACCTGACTTCCGTCGCAAACAGCAAAACCGCTATTGATGCCTTTCAATTTGAATTATCGCAACAGCCTTAGGTTCGTGCTTGATGTTGGGTTGTAATCTGATCTTCCGGACCGCGCTTCTCAAGACCTTTATCTCTGCCCCTGTAGAAGGACCGGCAAGACGGTCCGAAAGCCTGGAGAGAAAACTACATGTTCTTCTCTTCATATCACACGGAAATGTCCAGAGGACATGGCGTCTGACATTTGTTACAGTTCATGGATCTTCGTATACGGTTTCTTCGTCGGGAATCCCCATGCGTTTAGCATACACCATGGGGCCTTTACGCACCTCACGCCCATGCATCAGAAGCGCTGTTACAGCCGGCCAGTCATCAGTGGGTCCGAGGCCGCAGTTGACAGGTCCACTCTGCCCGTTATAGTTACTACATGCTGATAACGCGCGGTGCTGGATCACAATGCCCTTCCTGGGAAGCGGGCGGGCACGCGCTACCTTTCGTCCCTTGACGGCCGACGGTGGTGTGTAAAAGGCGCACCCTCGTGCTCGCCGGCTGCCACTTCCCGCGTAACATGCCCGTGCGCCAGAGACGGCCGCAGGGACGATAAAAACATGACCTGATATCGCTCGACCCGCCGTGACAGGTATGAGTGCATGAGACGCCGGAAACGGGGCTGCCGTGCGGCGCCACCAGCACCCTTCGAGTGTTTGTTCCGCCGCGTCAGGCGTGGTGTCGGCGCAGGTTGACTCCGCCCGGGCGCGGCACGTGGCGAAGCGCCAGGCGCTGGCGAAGGTTATCTCGCCGTGCGGCCACCACTGAGTCGAAATATATTACGGCTTGGTTGCACAGGCTTTCACGCGTCGAGATGTTCTTTATTAGCATTCGCAACATGTCATATCGATATAATTTGTCACGTGAAGACGTCATTATCGAAATGCATGATTTTGTTTCATTCTTTTGATTCAGAACGCTTTATGGTATGGGCTTTTTCGTCAAGGTAATAGTTGCCTGTGGTTGCCATGAGGTTATTGCCTGCACAACTTGTTCGTTGACTGACGAAGCTCCCTATTACCTGCTTTGCTCCGGCTGTCCGGCCCGCGTCGCCTGATCCCGGTCTACGTCGCCTGATCCCGGCCGCGTCGCCTGATCCCGGTCGCGCCGCCTGATCTCGGCCCGCGCCGCCTGATCCCGGCCGCGTCGCCTGATCCCGGTCGCGCCGCCTGATCTCGGCCCGCGCCGCCTGATTCCGGCCGCGGCGCCTGATCCCGGCCGTGCCGCCTGATCCCGGCCCGCGCCGCCTGATCCCGGCCCGTGCCGCCTGATCCCGGCCCGCGCCGCCTGATCCCGGCCGCGCCGCCCGATGCCAGCCTGACGGGTGGCCGCCGTTGCAGCCGTTTGACCTGGGGCCGAGCCTGATGGACGAGGTGATGTCCATACTGGAGGCGCCGGCCGCCACGCAGCCGCGCCCGCGCGACCGCATCATGTCCGAGGAGTCCACCTCGGGCGGCGAGGCCAGCAACATGCGCAACGAGCTGCGCGAACAGAGCGCGCGCATGCTGCGCGAACAGGGCCAGAAGAAGCGCAAGGAGAGCAAGGTAGGCGGCAGGGGCGAGGCGGCACCTCGGCACGGACGTGGAGATGTGTGCATGCCGGTCTGGCGGGGAGCGTGGCTCAGCAGCGGAGCGGGTCGCCAGGGACAGGCGTCGGCTGGCGGTGAATAACCCAGCTGTGGATAGCCTTGTGGGGACTGACGGCCTGGCCACAAGGCGGTCTGTGCGCACGGGCTCGGCGTGGAGGGCGTCTGACGTTTCCCTGGCGCAGGCTGTGGGCTGCCGGGCGGACTGGCAGCTGGGCAGAGTGGAAGTGGGCCGTTTGACTCCGGCGATTACCAGCGTGGGTTCAGTCACGCCGCATTGATCGAAACTGTGACCGTGTGTCACGCTGGGCTGTTGCCGCTCGAGCCGCTGGAGCCGCTCCGTCCCGATGCCTGGCGGGGATCTCGGTCGGTCCCCTGCGTGTGTCATGGTGTGGGCCGCCGTGCCGGCCATGTTCCGAAGCAGCGCGCCTGCGTTGCTCTGTGTGCACCGGCACACGGTCCGCATCATCCATACTGAGCTCCCTCTGTCCTGTCGGAATTGCCAGACGGCTGCGCTGTCCTTATCTAGTTGCCCACTGCATGTGTATTTGCCTGATGCAAGCGGCGTTTAATTTCATTTCGTACGTGCTATCACGTTATCAAATGATAGAGGAAAGGAAGCCATCGGGTCAAACAAATGCTTTAGTGAAGTGGTGCAAGTGGTGGTGCGTTTGGTGACAGAATCGTCAACAACAGAAATGCAGAGCTTGATACATGGTTCGGACTTATGCGGAGCTCAATCGCTGGGGCCCGGGGAAATGTGGGAGTTTCTGTGAGAAAAAGGGGAGCTTAAGAGGGATGGCACGTGTCCGGTTTCCGTGAAGCCGCTGTGGCCGCGTGGGTGTGTGTTGGCCGTCGGGCGCTGTTGCCGCTGCCGACCGTGACGGCCGCGACCGCCGCCAGGTGCGCGACATCTCCGAGTCGGATCGGCGCACACTGGAGCAGGCCATCGCCATGGCCAACGACCTGGCGGCGCGCTCGATGGCCGAGCTCGACTCGGACTCGCTCGACTCGCCGCACACGCCGAGCAGCCCGACCAAGAAGAAGTTCTCGTTCAAGCTGAAGCCGAGCCCGCCGACGGTGCGCCGTAACTTCAGCACGGAGGCGGCCAGCATCCCCGACATACAGGTGCGGCTCAGCCGGCGACGCCCGGGCGGGCCGGCCGGCCGGCGGCGAGCGGCGCTGGCCGGCGCTGCGGCCTCGACGAAGCAGCCCGGCCCGGCGTCCCGCCCAGACGCGCAGGCCCGCGGTCGGACGTGGAGCCCACTGAAGGAGACGTGCAATGTGGCGCGGCACTGACGTACGAGCAGGTGTCGAGTTGAGGTGTTGACTAGCTCCGTTCTCATGGGCGTAAGCGTACCCGCGTTTGTTCTGGCCGCGTCTCTGCCGCCGTCGTGACCGTCACGGCTAGGCGAGATGCGGTGGGGGGGGGGGGGGGGGGGGGGGGGGGGTGGAGTACAACATATATTTTGCTCTTGGCGCTCGGGGCTGCCCTGTGGATGTGACAGCACGTATACCGGGCGTATCGTCTCGCATATGGTCGTGTCGTCCGTGACGGCCTCGCCAGAGTGTCACCTTGTTTTGAGAGGGCACGTTACACGTTGACCGAATGGCCTGCCTCGCCCCTTTTGCTGGCCGCCCGTGGGTGGGCGGGCAGTGCGGTGCTCACGACTAACGCGCCCTCCCGTTTCTGCCACAGGATGCAGTCTAAGGTAGGCCCGCCCACCCTCTCTTGTGATTGGCTGTGACGTCACACGTCGCTACCAATGGCGGCGCTGCATGCTTTCAGACTAGATGCGTCCACGCGCCACTGGGGCAGCTTGAGCATCGCGGAGGGCCGGTTGGGAACGGGGCTAGATTTAAACTAATGGAATGGGTTAGTGCAGCAGACAACCTGCCAGGGATTGGGTAGGAGAGGGGAAAAGGCTACGCTCGATCACGTTTCGGAAGGAGCGATGACAGGCACACTTTGAAACGAGTAATCAGTGCTCAAGATAGTGAACACTTCTTTGTGCCCGGCCCAGCGATGCCACTGTGGCTTGAAGACTTGGCTGTGTTGTTAGCTGACTGTGCTGCACCGTGGCCCGCGCCAACGACGAGACTCCGATGACCTCCGACGACCAGCGGCGGCGCGGCTGGTCGTCGGAGGTCCGAAGGGTCCGGCGCCGGAGGTCACTCACTATCGCTCTCCCTCTCTGGCTCTCCCTCTCTGGCTCTCCCTCTCTGGCTCTCCCTCTCTGGCTCTCCCTCTCTGGCTGGGCTCTCCCTCTGGCTCTGGCTCCTCCCCTCTGGCTCTGGCTCTCCCTCTCTGGCTGGCTCCCCTCTCTGGCTCTGGCTTCTCCCTCTCTGGCTCTCCCTCTCTGGCTCTCCCTCTCTGGCTCTCCCTCTCTGGCTCCGCTCTCTCGCTCTCTCGCTCTCGATCTCGACTCTCTCGCTCTCCGCTTCTCGCTCTCTTCGCTCGTCGCTCTCTCCTTCTCGCTCTCTCGTTCTCGCTCTCTCGCTCTCTCGTTATCGCTCTCCGCTCTCTCGCTTTCGCTCTCTCGCTCTCTCGCTCTCGCTCGCTCTCTCGCTCTCGCTCTCGCTCTCGCTCTCTCTCTCGCTGCGCTCGCTCTCGCTCTCGCTCTCGCTCTGCTCTTCTCTCGCCTCCGCTCTCGCTCTCGCTTCGCTCTCGCTCTCGCTCTCGCTCTGATCTCCTCTCGCTCTCGATCTCGCTCTCGCTCTCGCTCTCGCTCTCGCTCTCTCGCTCTCCGCTCTCGCTCTCGCTATCGATCTCGCTTCTCGCTCTCGCTCTCGCTCTCGTCTCGCTCCTCTCTCTCGCGCTCTCCTTCCTCGCTCCTCTCCCTCCTTCCCTCTCTTTCTCTTCGGCCTCTCTCTCTCTCCTCCCCTCCCCTCTCTCCTCCCTCCCCTCGCCTCTCTCTCTCTCTCCTCATCTCTCTCTCTCTCTCTCTCTCTCTCTCTCTCTCCGCGCGCACGATCACAATCACACTTTTTTGTCTCTTACGGGGGGTTCCAGGGCTGTCTTCTGCCCCCTCCCGCTCCCCCCCTTTCTCGCACCCTCCACGTGTAGCGAAGCATTTACTATGTAGTTGCCAGCACAGGAAGCAGACGCGTCCTGTCTAAGCTGCGACACGTGGGTGGTGTGCAGTGGCCCCTTGCCATCCGGCGCGCCGTGCACCCTTTGCGATGCGTTGGTTAGACCGCGGCGCTGCGGGTGTTACTTTGTTGTGTTTTGTTTGGCTGTTGGTGGCTGTTGCCGCCCGCATGTCTGGCGCCGGCAGCCAGCTCTGTGGCGTGCCTGGGCGGCGGCTCCGGCTGGCCCGGTCCTCGCGGCCCGTCGCAGCGCTTGGGGCATTAATCCTGACCGCCTCTAACGTGTCCACGCGCGCGAGGCCAGCGCCCTGGGTTGCGTTCGCCGGGGAAGAGTTGAATACTGCCGTTTTGTTGTGATTTATTTTACGAAGGCTTTAGGTGGCCGTGTTTCAGCCTTGCTTTGCACGCATCGCAGCCTATGACTTTGTGAAATTAGCCAACGAAACTTGTGCTGTCAAGCTAGGTATGTGATAAATCAGTGTTTCCTGCACTCCCGCCTGTGCCATAACATGAATCTATGAACCTAAGTTGTGGGTTGTTTTACAAGCGCTTTAATGACCGTACTCTGGCTTCGCTTTGCACGCATCGCAGCCTCAGACTTGTGTGACATAAACCAAGAAAATGATGCGGTTGATATACATATATATATATATATATATATATATATATATATATATATATATATATATATATATATATATATGCATTATGTATGTATGTATGTATGTATGTGTGTGATGATCCAGTTTTTCCGCTTTTGTCTGTGACAGCATCAACATAACTGATTGCTCTTTTGCTTACATTCTCGTCAAGTTATTCAAGCCCGCCTGATATGGTCTAGAGAAGCACAGCCGATTTCGTTGCCATCCTTACTGTATCATTAAATGTCGGGTACTCATGTCAAAGCTGTGTAATCACCAGCTGATCGCCGTCTGTCAAGCCCGGGTGGATGTGACGTGTGAACGTCGCCTTCAGCCGGAGGTTTCGGTCATCCGTCTGGCCTGTGGTGTCGGGCGGCTGAGGGTGAGTAGCATGCGCCTGGCACGGCTTGTGTGTCGCTGTTCCAGGCCTCGCTTAAACACGAGGAGCGCGAAGCCTACAACTCACTGGTGCACAAACCCTCCCTGACCTGCGCCCCACCGACGCCCGCCGCCGCCGCCGCCTCCGCCGCTTCTGTATCCGCCACTGCTGGACATCCGGCCGCCTGCTCCGTCGCCGCCGCCGCCGCCGCCGCTGCCGACGACACGCTCTCGGAGACCTCCGACAACCCGCTCAGGTCAGTCGACCGGAGTCACCGAGGAGAACGGTGGCCGGCAGCGGCCGACCGGGCGCCGCCGCTCAGTGCCGGCCGCCGTCAGTCGATCGTCTTGCACGGCGTTGTTGATGGGTTTCTTCCCGGACTTCAGCGGCTTGGCTCCCCGCGATGCGTGGCGTGGTCGCCGCACGGCATCAAAGGATGTGTTCATTGTCATCAGCCGCCGGTAGTCCTTGGCGCCGGTGCCGCTTCTCTGTGTAACGGCGCAGTCTTGTTTTCGGCCACGCCTTCGCCATCCATTACGCGGATCATCGCCGAGACGTTGTATCACTAGACCGGAAGTCAGGCCTAAACCCACGACCTTTCCGTCGCCAGCGGACGCTCAAGCATCCTGTCGTGGGGGGACATTCAAACCCATGAATTGCCGCTGCGGGCAGACGTTCTCGAAATTGCACCAGCCGTCCCCAGCAGTCTCGTGCCATTTAAAACTGATGCTGAATATCTCACCACGGCCCGCGGGTGTGATTCGCCCCAACCCCGTCCAGCCTCCACGATGTGACCAGCCTGAGCTAGCGGGACCCAACATACCCCAGCCTGATCTGACCCGACTGATCTGACCCGGCACTACCCGATCTGACCTGACCTGACCTGACCTGGTCTGAATGGCAGGATGCTGCGGGCCGGCATCACGGTTCGACCGAAGATCCGTGGCAACAAGCACAACGTGACGCCGACGGGCGTGGCCACCATCGAGCGCAGCCAGGGCGTGGCCCGCTCCAAGGCCGCCGGCCTGCTCAACTCCAAGTGCGTACCGGCCGCCGGCCGCCTCCGGTGCCGGCGGCAAGGGGGCGTTTCGCGCAGGTCGAATGGAGGGGGAACAGGGGCGGCGTTGCGGGTCTGGAGTTGGGGCATAATTGTCTAAGGGGTATTCTAGGTCAAATGGCTCCTCGCAGGAGGGGGGGGGGGGCGGGGTGGTCCTGAACGAGACTTTCCAATAGGTCTCCTCAGTTTGGACGGGAAGAAGGGTTGGGGTCCTTTACAGGAACCTATTAATGGTCAAACCGATATATTTCGTTCCTGCCTAGCTTGGAGAAAGTAAAGCTTTCGTTTGTCAAAGCGATTTTAGGATTTTGGGAGGCAGATCTACCTCCATTTTTGGGGGCATGGAGGACAGTAGCAGCTCAGCACAAGAGCTAATTTCACACAAAGGATGCTTACATTTGTAAGTGTTGCCTGACCTTTTTTATGTTCGCGGTATCTGTCGTGAGAAGCAACAAAATAAGTGTTCAAGGCGATTCGGGTTATTACTTGCGAGGGGATGTCGCTGGTTGCTTCTCTCTTAGGAAAAACGGGATCGATGTCGGTCCGACAAGCATCATTGTAGGATTCAAAGTTCCAAACCCAGGTTTTCAAGGTTCCAGCATGTATGGTGTAGTCATCACGTCCAACTGCTGAGAGAATTGGGGGGGGGGGGGGGGAGTGGAGAGGGTCCTGCTTTGCAGGTCAAACACGGTCCGTCGCGGCTGCAGGCTGTACCAACGTGGGAGCGAGGACAATTAGGGAGCCTCGGAATCCAGGAAACGGACCTCCTTAACACAGGACATGGCTTTATGATCCAGAGCAGGGACTACCTAATTCAGAAAAGGGTCTCCTGATCCAGCCAAGTACCCCTTGATGAAGGAAGAGGCGTCCTGGACCCCATTAAGGACCCGCTAGTCTAGCTGTGGGAGCCTCCTCGATCTGAACTCGCGGACATGCGCGACTGCAAAATGTCCCGTTTGGTTAAAAGGGGGCGGGGGGGGGAAGCACCTAAAATTTGGAGGCACAGAAACGTCATCGTGCCGCTGGCCCTTCTGCGCGCGCCTCTGGATGGAGGGCAGGTGCTGGGTGGCTGCTCGGGATGGAGTGACGGAGGGAAGGCGATCGGTGTGTCTCTGTACCTCGGTCAGTACTAGGGCGCCCCGGGTGTGAGCTGGCCTTTGCTGTACCTCGGTCAGTGCTGGGGCGCCCCGGGTGTGAGCTGGCCTTCGGTGTGCCTCGGTCAGTGCTAGGGGGCGCCCCCGGTGTGAGCTGGCCTTCGCTGTACCTCGGTCAGTGGTAGGGCGCCCCGGGTGTGAGCTGGCCTTCGCTGTACCTCGGTCAGTGCTAGGGCGCCCCCGGTGTGAGCTAGCCTTCGCCGTACCTCGGTCAGTACTAGGGCGCCCCGGGTGTGGGCTGGCCTTCGCTGTACCTCGGTCAGTGCTAGGGCGCCCCGGGTGTGAGCTGGCCTTCGCTGTACCTCGGTCAGTGCTAGGGCGCCCCGGGTGTGGGCTGGCCTTCGCTGTACCTCGGTCAGTGCTAGGGCGCCCCGGGTGATGAGCTGGCCTTCGCCGTACCTCGGTCAGTGCTAGGGCGCCCCGGGTGTGAGCTGGCCTTCGCTTGTACTCGGTCAGTGCTAGGGCGCCCCTGGTGTGAGCTGGCCTCGCGTACCTCGGTCAGTGCTAGGGCGCCCCGGATGTGAGCTGGCCTTCGCCGATTACCTCGGTCCAGTGCTAGGGCGCCCCGTGTGTGAGCTGGCCTTCGCGTACCTCGGTCAGTGCTAGGGCGCCCCGGGTGTGAGCTGGCCTTCGCGACCTCGGTCAGTACTAGGGCGCCCCGGGTGTGAGCTGGCCTTCGCCGTGACCTCGGTCAGGCTAGGGCGCCCCGGTGTGAGCTGGCCTTCGCTGTATACTCGGTCAGTGCTAGGGCGCCCCGGATGTGAGCGGCCTTCTGCTGATACCTCGGTCAGTTGCTAGGGCGCGCCGGGTGTGAGCTGGCCTTCGCGGTACCGGTCAGTGCTAGGCGCCCTGGTTGAGGCTGGCCTTCGCCCTACCTCGGTCAGCATGCTAGGGCGCCCCGGATGTGAGCTGGCCTTCGCGTACCTCGGTCAGTGCTTAGGGCGCCCCGGGTGTGAGCTGGCCTTCGCGTACCTCGGTCAGTGCTAGGGCCCCCGGATGTGAGCTGGCCTTCGCCCGTACCTCGGTCCAGTGCTAAGGCCGCCCGCGGTGTGTGGCCCCGCGGGGGATCGACGTGGGATCAGCTCCGTCTCGGGGAAGATTCCGTGCTACGTCGTGACTGGCTCCATGCTGACCAGCGCGTGTGTCGGCACTCCGTCCAGGGGGCGGCATCGGTGGCGTGTGTCGGCACTATGTCCGGGCGGCATCGGTGGCGTTTGTGTCGGCACTCGTCCAGGGGGCGGCATCGGTGGCGTGTGTCGGCACTCCGTCCAGGGGGCGGCATCGGTGGCGTGTGTCCGCACTATGTCCAGGGGGCGGCATCGGTGGCGTGTGTCGGCACTCCGTCCAGGGGGCGGCATCGGTGGCGTGTGTCGGCACTCCGTCCAGGGGGCGGCATCAGTGGCGGTGTCGGCACTCACGTCCAGGGGGCGGCCCATCGGTGGGTGTGTCCGCACTATGTCCAGGGGGCGGCATCGGTGGCGTGTGTCGCACCAAAGAGCCAGGGGCGGCATCGGTGGCGTGTGTCGGCACTCCGTCCAGGGGGCGGCATCGGTGGCGTGTGTCGGCACTCCGTCCAGGGGGCGGCATCGGTGGCGTGTGTCCGCACTCCGTCAAGGGGCAGCATCGGTGGCGTGTGTCGGCACTCCGTCCAGGGGGCGGCATCAGGTGGCGTGTGTCGGCACTCCGTCCAAGGGGCAAGCATCGGTGGGTGTGTCGGCACTCCGTCCAGGGGGCGGCATCGGTGGCGTGTGTCCGCACTATGTCCAGGGGGCGGCATCGGTGGCGTGTGTCCGCACTCCGTCCAGGGGGCGGCATCGGTGGCGTGTGTCCGCACTATGTCCAGGGGGCGGCATCGGTGGCGTGTGTCGGCACTCCGTCCAAGGGGCAGCATCGGTGGCGTGTGTCGGCACTCCGCCAGGGGGGGCATCGGTGGCGTGTGTCGGCACTCCGTCAAGGCGGCATCGGTGGCGTGTGTCCAGCACTTATGTCCAGGGGCGGCAATCGGTGGCGTGTAGTCGGCACTCCGTCCAGGGGGCGGCATCGGTGGCGTGTGTCCGCCACTTAGGTCCAGGGGGCCGGCATCGGTGCGCGTTTGTGTCGGCACTCGTCCAGGGGGCGGCCATCTGTGGCGTGTTGTCCGACCTTATGTCCAGGGGGCGGCATCGGGTGGCGTGTGTCGGCCACTCCGTCCAAGGGGCGGCATTCGGTGGCGTGTGTCCGCACTATGTCCAGGGGGCGGCATCGGTGGCGTGTGTCGGCCACTCCGTCCAGGGGGCGGCATCAGTGGCGTGTGTCGGCACTCCGTCCAAGGGGCGGCATCAGTGGCGTGTCGACGGCGCGCCGTGAGGCTCACGGCGTCTGGTCGGCAGATGCTGCGTCTCGTGGACGGCGACGATCAGAGTACGCTTCACACGGGTTGTGGTCGTTCGTGATGGCATGGTGTTGATCGCTAGTGGAGGCTGTTCGGGAGACGTGTGTTCTCACCGCGCTCGGTGTCTGGTGGCATCGTCTCCGCCGTATCCCCGCGGCGGCTGATCAGGACGCACGTGCACGCCCGGGCTGCCTCGCCGGCGTGTACCGCTGAGGGGGGCGGCGCGCTGACCTGTGGTCTCCTCCGCCCGCCAGGAGCGTCTCGGAGACGGCCGAGGAGCCGCTGGAGGCGAGCTCGCTCCAGAGCTGGCACCGCACCATGTCGATCGACCGCGACCTGGCCGTCGGCTCGGTGCCCTCGGAGGAGAGGCTCGGCGCGTCCAACCCGCTGCCGCTGCCGCCGCGCGACCGCTCCCGCAGCCTGCAGGTAAGCCTGGCCAGGCGGCCAGGCGGCCGTGCGCTGCTCGTGTGGCTCCTGTGGTGCCCGCGTGGTGCCCGTGTGGTGCTTGTATGACACCCGTGTGGTGCTTGTATGGTGCTTATATGACTCTCGTGTGGTGCTTGTATGACACCCGTGTGGTGCTTGTATGGTGCCCGCGTGGTGCTTGTATGACGCCCGTATGGTGCTTGTATGGCGCCCATGTGGTGTCCACAATCACGCGGGACGGCGATCAACACAGACTGACGACGAGGAGCGGTGATTAACAGGCATGTAGAAGTTCGTAAAGGAAACGTGAGAGATTACACCAAGTTGCTAGGACAGAAACCGAGCATCATTCCCAAGCTCTCCTGGGAATGTGGTGTTCACCGACTACCGGTTCTGCTCAGACTACTGTCGAGCAGAATTCGAATATCCAGCCCAGCCGACTGAGTTCCGGTGTGGTGTGACGTGTTGTCCGCGGTCGGTGCTGACCTCATGCTCCGCCCGTCGTCAGGAAGCGGCCGCCAAGCCCCGTCACCAGCGTAAGCACCCGCTGCTGCTGCCGGCCGGTGCGGCGACGGCGGCTGCTGCACGGCCTGCGGACGGCTCGCCGCCCGACGACACCACCGACGGCTGCCTGCCCCGCGGCGCGCCGCCCGCCAAACCGCCCCGGCTCAAGTGAGTGGCGCCCTGCTGCGGGACGGCGCGACCGGGCGGAACAAAGGTCCACTTCGTGGCGGTCGGTCGTCGGCCACCAGCTGTCCATAGCTCACCGGGCCCCGGGCGACGTCACCGTCATGACGGCAGGGGCCGCGCTGTTCGACTGCCGCATTACATGCGCCGTGCCGAGTTATGGGCAGCTAGTCAGACACGTCCGCAATCATGCCGCTGAGGCAAAGGCGCTTGTGATATCTACGGCTGTAGTGTCCAGGGCGCCGGCAAAGTCGCCCGGTGTTTGGACACCCACGTCTGGGCTCCCATCAATAATGTGATTCGGTGCTTCTCTTGGAAACGTTGCTCTCAACGCCTGACAATCCCATGTTCTTGATATAAGCCAGAAGGGGGGGGGGGGGGTAAGGAGACTTTATTCCGGTCCTAATTGACCCATGATACCAGGAGATACTGGTCAGACGACCTGAAAAACTAAGCAATATTTACAAAACAGTTTTGTCAATATTGCCAGTGTCGACTCGAGAATGTCGCTTACCCAGTATCTTCTAGTGTGGGGAAGGGTGATCATCGTCAGAACAGGAAATCCCAGCCAATGAAACCTGTAGGCGAAAAGGTGCTCTCGCTTTTTTCATTGGTCTTCCCCACTGTTCCCGTGTCGTACACGTTTCTCATTGGTTGATGATCACGCAATATCACATCACGTTCGTGCCTCATGCTCTTGATGGTTTCGTCACGCCAAGCGATGTCATATATTTCACATTGAATCCGCAATTACCGGGTTTTCATCCATGCAAGACGTAAGAGCAGGTCGATGAAACACGTACACACGGGCACATGTTGCTCAAATTGCACATGGGCACATGCTGCATGTTGCTCAAATCGTGCCCGCTACAACCACGTGCATGACTGACTAGCCACGATCAGAACGTAACCTTAGCACGAGTGCTGCCTTAAATGATACGGCCGTTTGAAGGCAAGGATTGGTTTGTCGCTGCATTAGATTAAGATATTCAGAAGATTTGAAGACTCAGTGGGGAGCCAGACTGCTGCTGGTGCTGGTCGACCGCGTGGATGCTGCTGTGCGGAGCGGGTGCTGATGGAAGTGTTGCGGTGAGAACCCAGCAAAGAGCATCTGACTGACTCTCGAGAACGGCTAAAGGTCTCATTAGTTTATCCACCCCAGACAGTGTACGATCTCTCACACTTGGTACGAGGAGATACCGGGGGAGGGAGAGGCACCGTGGGGGGGGGGGGATAAAGCGAACCCGCTCGGCTAGTCTGTCCCCCTGTCAGAGCTGGCGTCGCGTGTTCTACATATTTGCCCACCTCCTCTCCAGCACTATGCGCGAGGGCTAGCAGGGCATTTGCGGTTCATTAGCAAGGTCAGCTGTTTCGATGCAAGCTTGTGCGTTTGAGAAGAATAGCGCCGCCATGAAGCTGTTGGGTATCCACGCGCGGTGTGTAGCTCAGCGCACCGTCACAGCGCCGCCGCCGCAGCACGCCGCGTCGCTGGCCAGGCCGCAGGTGCCATCGCCGCCGTCTGACGAGCCGCCTCTCCCCACTGGCGGACGAGCCGCCCTTCTCCCGCCGTCGGACGAGCCGCCCCTCCCCCATTGTCGTCTGACGAGACGCTCCTCCCCTGCCGCCGTCGGACGAGCCGCCCCTCCCCCACTGCCGTCTGACGAGACGCTCCTCCCCTGCCGCCGTCGGACGAGCCGCCCCTCCCCCACTGCCGTCTGACGAGCCGCCCTCCCCCGCCACCGTCTGACGAGCCGCCCTCCCCCACTGTCGTCTGACGAGACGCTCCTCCCCTGCCGCCGCCAGCTTGAACGACTCGTTCGAGTCGCAGCTGGCGCAGGAGATGGAAGCGCTGGACCACATCCCGGAGGAGCGGGCTGGCTCACCGCCGGCCGGCGCCGACCTGCTGTACACCTGGCGTGACCACGTCAGCTGCGAGGACCTGCTCGAGTTCGCCGCCGACCGCCCCAACGTGCGCCGCACGCGCGGCCCCGCGCACGGCGCGGAGAGCGACGAGGTGCGGCTGACGGGGCCGGGTGTACTGCGGAGGCCGGGTGTGCTGATGGGTCCGGGTGTACTGCTGGGGCCGGGTGTACTGCTGGGGCTGGATGTACTTCTGGGGCCGGGTGCCCTGCGAGGCGGGGTGTACTGCTGGGCCAGTATATACCGCTGGGGCAGGAGGGGAGGGGTTATGTGGTGAGAGATCCGTGTTCGTTCAGATTTCAGATATTGTTTCTTAGATACTTAACATCCCTGCCTCTCATTGACCTGTATGACCGTAAGATACTCAACAGCAAAAGAATCATTCTGTTTTGAGCCTAACTATCGTCTGCCCGGCGTGTACCGACACCTGGGCCGCCGCCGCCGCCGGCCGGCCATGCGCCTGACGACGCCTTGTTGGCCTGGCCACAGGTGCGGATCATGCTGAAGGTGCTGGGCACGGGCGCCACCTCCGAGACCTGCCTGCTGGCCCTGAACGAGACCAGCTGGGACGTGCACCGCGCCATCAAGCTGTGCCAGGTCACACGCGCTCTCGGCACGCAGGTCAGGGTCGGCTCCAGGCCAGCTCGCCGGCAGACGAGCGGCCGCCGCCGGCGCGGACCGCTGGTGCAGGCGTCGCTGGCTTGGTGCAGCAGTTACTAACGCCCTGCCGTCTCTCGTAGCTGTCGTCAGAAAGGTGTAGCGTGTCGCTCCAGTAGTCGCGGCGGCGGCGGCGGCGGTCGCGGGTGTGCTTTGTGCACAAATGCAGGCCGGTGCCTCGGTCATGGGCTGGGCTGCACCGTTGCCCGACTTTCTCCGGTTTCAGTTTGAGTTGCGCTGGGCGGGATGTTCTGATGGCATGATGGCCAGCGGGAATCCTCTGTAGAGCACCCAAATGGAAGTCACGCCAAAGTGTGGGAATGGCTTGGCTATTGGTTCGTGACTGAGAAGCAAGGTGGTTCTGACAGAGGGGATGAATGAGCAACCGCGCCTTGACTCGCCATGATGTCCCTGTCGTGGTCGAGAATAACTACACGTTGTCCGCTGTGCCGCCAGGTGGACACGGACGAGGTGAGCCGGACGCTGCGTCAGGTCGAGTGGAATGTCAACAAGGCAGTCAGCAGTCTGATGGTGCGCCACGGCGCCGCCGGCCAGGCCACGGTCGTGTGACGTCACGCACGGCTGCCCGGGTGTGACGTCACACGACCGTGACGCCTGACCGGCGCGCCGCGGGCCGCCACGCCTCGGTTCCGACGGTCGCCGGCAGGCGGCGTGCTGTGGGGGCGTGGGCGGGGTACGCGCGAGACCGGTGCCGTGGGGACGTCGCCAGGCTCTTCAGCGGTGCGTGGACGGAGGAATGGCGACGCATCGTCGACTCCCTCCAGTGCTGCGCCGGCGTCTGGTGCCAGTTGGCGGATGCGCTGTGCCGCACTGCGTTACAGTGCCCTCATCTTAGGGATCCATGGCGGCGGCGTCTGGTGATGCCGCCGCCACCTCTCGTGGCGCTGCGGAGGCGTGTCGTGGTGCGTGCTGTGCGGCGGATACAAATTGGCTGGACAGGTGCAGTATTACTGACTGGCGCGCCGGCGCCGGCGCCGGCGGCCAGGTCAAATCGGGTTTGTGCTCCAGTGATAGTCGGTGGGATATTGTCGTGGCGGGCTGCTATGGTGTGCTGCTGTGTAGTGTGTGTTGTGATACGAAGCCTTCTCGGCTGCGACCAGTACTCATCGAAATCGTAGCGCTCGCTCGCTGCCGATGTCCGCCGCGGGTAGTTGTACGGGCGGTCTGCTCGCGTCAGCGGTGATCCTTTCTGGTGGCCTGCGGCGCGTGGGCTCCTGGCTGGGTCTATGGCCCTCTCCCTCCCCTCCCCTTTCCTCCCATCCCCTCCACTCTTCCCCTCATCGGCCATGCTGCGTATGAAGCGTGCCGACCGCGATCTGGGTTGTTTTATTGGCGCCGTGCTCATGTAGATACGCGTCTTCCCCTGCATCGTGCCGCCTAGCTAACCTTGCCACGTGTGCAGCTTTACTTACCTGACCTGGGGGGCGTGATCCGAGGTCACGGTCGTCAGATCAGCGGCCGAGCTCGCGGGGCCCAGAGTTGTGAATCTCGCGCCTGTTTGTACTTTTGTACGTTCTAGCGGCGCGCTCGGGCGTCGCCTGTACAAAATCCGCCGCGTCCGGCGGCGCGGGCGGACAGAGCCGGCCCGCGCCGCCGCCGCCGCTGCCGCCAGCGTGCCGCTACTGCTTGTGGTGGTGTCGGACGACCTGCCGCTGGAATATATGCAGCTCTGCGCAGTGTGCCTCTCGGCCGGAGCGTGCCCGAACCGTGACGGGGCTCTCCGCCGCACAAGCCGGGGGAGGGGCAGCACCACATCCGCTACGTGACGGCGCTGCCACGTGACTGCAGTGCTGCGCAGGTGCATTGGTAGTTGCCGCGCTGTCGCCATGCCACGCACCTGCACTGGCACGCGACAACCTCGGTGCAAATCATGCCCAGCCCACCTAGCACGCAGGCGATATTGCACCACTGATGTCTCCGTGTGTCTTCGGAGTGAGCCTCTGTCGTCTTCAGCCAGCCGTGGAGGTTTGTCGCCAGATGGGTTTGGCCCATGCTGCGTGGCCGGATTTTGGACCGAACAGTGTGCCTGACGGCTGTATGAGTGCAGCGCTATGCAGTCTACTACTTGTGCTATTCATAATTATGCTTTGCGCGTTCCCATCGCTTCATTGAACATTGCCTTATCATCAGATTTCCGCGATTTTTAGATGGCCTGTCCCCTTGCGTCCTTGTTGTTTACCTACGAAAGCGATGTGTTGGCGCGCGCGTCAGTAGCTGTCGTATGCACGGCGTCTTGGTGCTCGCTGCTCAGCTCCGCCCACCACTCGTTAACACGCGCCATTGTCCGCGCGCCGAACGTGGGCGTGAGACAATCGGGGGTCTCCGCGGTCGGCGTGTTTGACTGGGACCTAGGGCGGCGGGCACTGGCCGGCAGAGCTGGCGCGCCACGGCGGGCAGGCGAGCGCGGCGCCCCACCGACGCCGCCGCCGTGCAGGGCTCGTCGCCCGCACAGTCCGCCTGCGTCGCAGGACCCCCGTGACTGCGTTGTAGCATAGGCCGCGCGCTACGAGCGGGCACGGTTTGTGACGCGTCGGCTGACGGGTGTTTCACGGATGACTAGCGGTGCGAGGCGTATGGTACAATTCAATGATGTCGAGCAAGCAGAAGTGAGCTGGAGACTGCTTTCGGTACACCCATGGGTTGGGCGCAGCTGGGTCGTGGGTCGGCACCGGGTAGGCGCAATGACGACTGTTTTCGCAGCGATTTATCTTGCAACTGTCTCTGTTCTTTCACCAGTCGTACTCGTGACTATGTGAATTATGCAAATACGTGTCCATGGTCTCAAAGCGCAGCCAACTATGAAATCGGCTGGAAAGCGTAGATGGGTCGACTCGGGCGTCATTCCAGCTGGCTCGGCATGACATTGCGGTGGGCCGGTTGGCCCGCTTCAGCTCTGCGTGGTGTGATCATCAGTCGCTGCGTGAGCTGACCTGAATGGTAGGCCAGCGGCGGGCGGCGGGTCACATGTGACCTGTCATTGAGGTACGGTCAATGGCAAGACGGAGGAGACAGTCCCGCTGCGTCGGTGACCAAGCTAAACATTTGAGAAAAACGGCGACTTTGTACTCTAAACACGTGTGAGCCTCTCATGCCACGTTACCGTATGCATGTTAACCAACCGCGAAGTACAGAGATGGAGCTGCTGGCTCTTGCGAGCGTTGTGGCACGGTAATTCACGCGCTGCAAGGAGAGAAGATGAGCCGTTCCATTCGGGTCGGTTTGTCTTGGGTCGCATGCGACAGTCTCTTGGTTGACCTATGTGCTTCAGTGACTTTGGTCCCGCTGCGTCAGCTGCAGGTCCCGCCCTCAGACATTCCTGATGGTGCAGGACACGGGCCAAGCCGGTGCCAACGCTGTGGCCTATGACGGCTGCCCAGGTGCAGAGCACGGGCCGAGCCGCTGCCAACGCTGTGGGTCATGACGGCTACTCAGGTGCAGCGCACGGGCCGAGCCGCTGCCAACGCTGTGGGTCATGACGGCCGCTCAGGTGCAGGGCACGGGTCAAGCTTCTGCCAACGCTGTGGGTCATGACGGCTGCTCAGGTGCAGGGCACGGCACGACAGCTGGGACGAGACACGAACCAACGGTAAAGCTGCTATCAAATTGACGCGAACGTTTTACGATCTGTCTTCGCTGGTGTTCAAGTGCCTGGGTACGAACGAGCTCACAATCACGCCCATGGTACGCGGCGATCAGACCTTCAAATTCGCGGTCAGAATCTAAATGGGTGTGGCGTTATATCTTCGGAGAGCCTTGACCCTCCCCCTTCGCCATGTTTACCTTGGCCGTCTTCAGTTTGGAGCCCAAATCGTTGGAAACCTCAGTTATAGTGGCAGACAACTACAAAAATTCCGTCTTTAAAACAAGTTCGATCTTCCTGCTAGCTTATGAAACCCTTAGGACTCCTAAGGTGAAACCCTTAGGACTCCTTAGGACCTTAGACGCAGGCCTCAGGATCCGGCTCTCGGCGTTCATTTCCGGTGTCCACGTACGTGGTCACTACAGTCACGTGACGTGGTCAAAGTAGGCTCCGAGCGCTGTCTGTCAGGCTCTGTTGGTCCCTGGGGTATACTGCGACAAAAACACAGCGCAACCAAAATGTGTCGTTTCTCTTGCATGCTTTATTTCGAGCAGTTTATCCGCGAGAGCACTTCCATCGACTTTGTCGATCTTTGATGGATGAAAAGACGGTGGAAAATTTAGTCACAGGTCTTGCCAAAACAGTGCCATAAATGGGAAACCAGTGGACTCCAATTCACCTAAATCTAAAAGTCATCTGCCGCCAGAGCCGGTAAGAAGCCTTCGTTAATGGTAGGTAATCTGCTTTGCGAGGAGCATATCAAACGCAAAGCTGTGCAGCACACTTCGTTGCACCTTGGGGAAGACTGAAGCTTACATATTGATGAATGTAGGCTAAACATCACGCACAAGTGCTGAGCATACAACGAAAAGTTTCTGCCAGGGGCGCAACTTTGGTTTTGAAAGCAGGGGAAGTCGCCTGCTTCTCACGCTGGCAGGTAGGGCGGGCACCGCCTGACATTGCACCCCGTGCCTCTGGTTTCCCAGAGGTGCAGTGGCCAACGCAGACGCGTCAACAACTCCATTATCTGCACCTCCTAGTTGCAGTTATGTTTTGTCTGTGCTACCAGAGTATGGTAGCTTGCACATTACATCACACTTTCAAAATACAAAAAATCGTCATAAACGTTTCCCTCGTTTTTCGGAGCGATAGCGAAGGACTTTACATTGACCTTACGTAAATGTAGCCCGCAGGATAACAGGCGTCGGGCTTCTGCTGGGGCTTTCTGGAATGAGAACAAATCGCCTGTCTTCATTGCATTTCCTTGCTATGCTAGAGCCTTCTGTATACATACACGTGATCTATCATCGCGATTAGTGTCAAATCTGGTAATCTTATCGAATCCCACTTGCCAAGTGACCGAGCTCAATGGTGATCCGGAACGCCGCGTTGGTGAAAGCCCGGCTTGGGTGCAAAATCCCAAAGTTGCCTTCATTTTAAGAACTCTTCGGGTTCCCCTACTGTCCACCTCGAGAGTGTTCTAAAACAAACTTGTAGCAGTGGAAGCTGCTTAGGTTTCATTTCCAGTCTAGAAATGTGCCGTTTTTGACCGAATTCGGTCATCTCGGGGGAATGGTCCGGTGCCCCCTCCACCCAAACTGGATCCCCTGTTGAACGAGCCACGACCCATTCGTCGACTCGTCTCCGCCCCTACTAGATCCTGGCGCGGGCCGGCGTTTGCCGCGCATCTCGTCAGCAGGTGAGCTGGCGCGCGGACGTGTTTCTGCGGACTCTCGAGAGGCGGCGCCGGCTCTGCTCGCCGGGCGCCGCGCGCCGGCCGGTTTCAAACGGGCGGCAGTCGGGTGCGGCGGCCGGGTGGCGTTGGTGCGGCGGCGAACAGTGACCCGTGAGCCGTCGCCATGGCGCACCACGACGAGGCCGGTATCGGCGACTTTGTTCTACTAGACCAGATCAACATCGACAGCTTCATGGAGAACCTGCAAGTGCGGTGAGTGAGATGTGGCCACGCCCGGCTGGTGCTACTGGCCTGGAGGGCCGCTGGCGCTGCAGTCGCCCACGCAGCCGCGCTCCGAGGGCGGCGCCGACAACAAACGGCGGGCCGGCAGTCTTATGTCCGTGTCTGCGTCGCGGATACGGCATGGTCGGCCGTGATGTCTCGATGAAGGATGAAACCTTCGGGTGAAACGCTGGACTTCCAGTTGGCGATCATTGGCGGGGGCTGTCCACGTCTTCCCGATGGTCTTTACATTCCTTCCTGCTACTTCATTTTGTCTGGCCCTTCATTATGTTCTGGTTATTGGGTCTAACTTCATTTGTATTGGGCTACTCTCGCTTTCTCTCGCACGTTATCATTGGTCCTCTCTTCGCTCGATCCTTGACTCCTCTTCTCTGTCCATTGCTCCAACTCTGCTCATCCCTGACCCCCTTCCTCCGCGCCTCCGTGGTCCGTTGCGTGTCCCTGTCTTCCTCTCACACGCAGGGGTCCAGGATTTCGTCAAGGGAGGGGCCGTGCTTCATTGTGGTGCTCCTTGGAACTTGGTGCCCCGATCACAAAGGAGTCCCCGGATTGTAGCCTCTTTGTTTTCAGATTCTTATGTTTTAATTGGAAAAACATCTTCCGCCGGATTTATTCCACTTTATTTCTGAAGGTAAACTTTCATTTATTCTGTGCTGAGCTCGAAGATTTGGGGCCGTTTGTGGTGCTCCTGAAGTTTGGTGCGACTCAAGGTAATATGGGCCCCAAATGAGGACTTTGTCTCCGCGATTCAAAATGGGGCTGGCTCCATGCCCCCCCCCCCCCCTGGATCTGCCATTGCGTACAGGCGGGGCGGCCAAAATCAGGCGGCACCTGGGGTGCGCTCGGTTTTTATCAGGCTCGGCGGCCGCTATCGGGGGTGGCAAGTCCCGCGATAGCGGCCTCCCTTCGGTGCGTGTACCGGCCCGGGCAAGCACTCGCCGTGTTGACATTGGAACGCTCCCCGGTGCGGCTCGCGCCGTTTTTTCCCGCGCCGCTCGCCGCCCGGAGACGGCGAGCG